TGATACATTAAAATCAACAAATTTTACATTAAAAGTTCGACGTTTATTTGATATTCTTCAAAGTGCTTTACGTACATATGCACCATGGAGTTTAACACAATCATCTCATCGAATATTATTACAATCGGAAATAGGTAGTGGAGCAAATAAATGGATAGTTAAAACAATGGATATGAGTACAGATGCTGTACATTTTCGTCCAGTTGAAATGAAAACTTATGATAGTAAAGGAAATTCAATTTGGTGTATGACAACAACTATTCCAGTTCAATTCAATTTATGGCTTGATCCATTAACAAATAATAATGATAATAATAATACAAAAACTATTGAAAATCAATTTGAACAACAATGGAAACAATATACAGATAATTTAAAAGTAAATTAACCATATAATTTAATAGAAAGAGATTTTGTAATTCGATAGAATGTATCGAATTCAAAGAAACTAACTGGAAAGAGAAAATAGACTATTGGAGCAATCGATAAGAGAATAAATAGGTAGAATTTCGTGTAGTTGAATAAATCTATTTTACAATCTCTTCGTGTTTTTTTTCTTATACTCTTGCTTAAACAATTATTTCGTCATTTATTTTTAATATTATCTTTTTACAATATTTAGGAAAGTCTTCTATTAATGGATGATCGTTTACTCTCATTAGATACGTTAAAATTACCATCAAAATCTAGTAAAAATTCTGTTGATATTCAATGGTTGTCACCAATTGATTCACCACTATCAAATGAAGAGTCAAAGGAAAATCGTACATGTTATAAATTTGATGGAAGTGCAAGTCTTCGACTCTTTACATGCCATTCTGAAATGACCGGCAATGATATACGACAATATTTTATAGAAGATCTTTTCCGTTCAATGCTTATTCGTCTGAATTTAGCTCTTATTAATAATGAAACAAATACTAATGAAAATATTTTACTCAATAAACTTATTTTACCACGTCGTGTTTATATTAATCGACCTGTTTTTATATCTGGTTATCAACTTGTTCATGAAGAATTACCAATGGTTATTGATTCATTACAAGAAAATTTTAAAATAACATCACTTTTGGAAGAAGATCTTGAAGTTGCTGAAGAATTTCCACCTGAAATAACAAATGATGAAAGATTAAAACAATTTAATACCAATATAAATACAAAAGATACTCAAGAAAAATTAACAACGAAAAAAAGCATATATCAAAATTTAATGATTCTGATTGAACAGTATCTTGGTACCGGAAATGCAGTACTAATCGCTTTACTCGTTGCAATATTTTCTATATTGATTGGTATCATGATAAAACTTTTTACATAATCTGTTTTTGTTTGATTTTTATTTTAAAAAAATATTTATCTTTATCGTTGTTGTTTTGAAGAAAATATATATTCATGTTGGGAAGAATATGCGGCATATCTAAAAGAAAAACTAATTAATTGACTCAAGAAAAATATATAAAATATCATAACTAGATTATTAAAGTTATTACTATCATTTTCTATATTAGTATGACGGATAAGAAATGATTTTTAATGTAAAGAACAATAGAAATATTAATAGTACATTCTCTGTGATAACAAAATTAGAAGAAATTCATTTTACACCGTTACAAATGAGATATGTTCTTATTCTCGATCTACTCTCATTATTCTCTGAAATTTTAATATTTTGATCTTCTTCATTTCTTGGTGCTCAGGCGCCTTCGAAACATCCTTCATCTTGATATTTTTTGATTTGCTTGTGATGTTATAATACGATGTATTAATAGATCCTATAGCATTAACTTCTTTATATTTTGCATTAAAAAAAATGAAAATGAAATTTATTTTTAAAATAGAATGCTAAGAGTATTATTTGTATAATGCAATAAAAAAGTAAACGTTTTTTCAAGACTAAAGAATACTTCCGTGTTTCGCTTACAAATATCGTACATGAAATCAAGTTGGATAATTTTATTTTCAATAATCTCAATAAATACTTTTTATTCTTAGGTTTATTTGAAACTAATAAATATCGTTACCAATTAGAAACAGAAGGAAACTGATTGTTTGCTTGCGGCTAAACATACGTTCGCCAAAAGATAATTTGAAAGCGAAGAAAAGCATTTTTTCTTTTACATATTGTTTTATTCAGAGAGTTATAAACAGAAGAAAAATAGAGTATTAACCAGTCAGTGTAACTATTAATGACTTCATTAAGCGGTCGACTTCATTGCCAAATATAAATTCTTACAATTTTTTTCTACTACAATACTGTTGACACATTTTAGTAACTTATGTATATTTATACTCATCATTGTATTCTTCAGTAATTTGATTATTAAAACTACAATGGCTGAAAAAGAAGTATGTGTTAAAAAATAATTTTATATTTCCCTTTCGTGTAACTTTTCATTTTATTTTTCAGAATAATGATGAAAATTATATATCAATAAAACTTGTTGAACTTTTCAATGCATATACAAATGGTTCTATCTCTCAACAACAATATTTAACTGAAATTTTAAAGTTGAAACAACAATAACTATATTCAAGTTATTTCTTCTTCTTCTTCTTTCATTAAAAGAAAATAATTTTCGTTGATCTATCGATGGGATATGAACAACTCCCTTTGTAAATAAACAATTCTTGTTGCTCATCACGTTAATGATATTACAGTTATTTTTGAAATATAAAATGCATTATTGATGTAAATCAAATTGTTACTATGAGAATCCTTAGTACTTTGAATAATCAATGTGTTAATAGTCACGTCAATTATTTAGCTTATAATTGAGTTGTTTTAAATCATAGTAATTTTTGTAAGCACCATTCAATCGATTGGAATATTACGTATTTGCTTGCTCTAACGGATATGAATAGAAGAGTAGATATTTCCGTTCAATTTTTGAAACTAATAGTGCAATATGGATAGAACTTTCATATAATAATAAATAAAAACAAATTATTCTTACATGAAATGCTTCTAAACATATAAATAACTCATTTTTATGTTGCTTAGCATTACTAATGTATCTAATTAAACAAACAGAGAGCAAGTATTTAAATATTAACAAGATTTCTATGTACTCATACATGAGTAATGTTACCAAGGCTGAATAATTTTTATCTTATCTAAATCGTATTATGAGATTATAAATTGTATGTACAATAGCTATACATGTTGATGTTGGGTAGAATCTGTTATTATCAATTTACATTTATTTTTTCGTTGAATTGCATTAAAAAAAACTACGCTTCAAATCTTTTAAGTTATACAAATCAAGTAAACGCTAATGGATAGTTAGAGAAATTAGAGTGTTTATAAAGACATATAAATATTACTTAACATTTGGTATTGAATACAACTAACTACATCCATTACTCCAGGCTTTAACGATTCTTCTTATCATTATACATCATTAAGAATCAAGCATACTTTTGTAGAGAAAATACATTATAAACAATCCATAAAGTTACTTTAGAAATATCTTCATGAATTTCATTACGAGTTTCTAATTTCTTAAAAGCTTTATACTCATAAGATAAACAAGTTAAGATTTAGATTTTTATGAAAATCTTTAAACGATATATAAAGAAAGTGTTAATCTATAAATAATAATAATATCACATTACATATATTAAATAGAATTTGACCTTCAATCTTTTTTTTTGAATGGAACAAAATAATCAATATTATTCGAGACTGAGTTGTAAGAAATTCGAATAAAAGGATTCTTTTCATTACATCATTGAACTTGATGTCAACTGATTCGTTTACTTACTGAAATAAAAACGTTTGTTTAGTCATTATTAATCTTATATTGATGTCGAAGAAAATGCAAAGAACGTTTGTTGACTGATATACATATGAATATGGATTCTTTTCATCAAATATTTTACTTCTTTAATCAAATTGAGTTTTATATTATTTACTCATATGACAGTTTACTCATTTCGTTATTTTCATGTCTGACATTTTTTTTTTCTTCGATCAAAATGAAACAATGTAAACTTCATTTTTTTAGACATTTTTCTTTTTATTGAAATATAATAACTTTTACGTGACGTTCATACTTAACATTACCTTGTATACCATTTGCTCTTATTTCTCATTGAATATACGTCAAGATATAGAACTAAATATCAATTTAAGTACACAAAGATAAGAGTTACACATATTATTTTATTTTAACAAGCTATAAGAAACAAATTTATTGTTAATGATGAAAAGTTAATTGAAAAAAATAATTATCAATTTGAAATGAATTGATGACGCAATAGTATTTGACTAGTAATGTCTATATATAACAATATTAGTTAATTGAGTTCGTGATCATCTATAATCATTATGACATTAACTGTATTATAATCACTTATATCAATATAAACAAGCTGTAACCTATAGATTTTCTGATGTCGATAATCGCATAATTTTATTAATATCATCAATCGGCAAGGTCAACAAGTTGTCTAGTATCATTTATATATTTTTATGAAGATAAAATAATATTTGATTTAGTCTTTGTCGAACGAAAAAGAGAAGTCATCATTCTGAGAGACATAGGAAAAAAATCATGACAATAATGATTGATGTATTGTGAGAACAGGTAGATTGATGAACTATAAGATGATCTGCCAATCATATTTCTTATTTTTGATAAATCTTATATAATCTAAGAGTTATGATGAAGGACAAAATGTCTGTCGGGACGACAATGATCCATATGTCTGTTGACCTTGGTCTTCTATATAGATACTACGGCTTGACTATTAGTTATGTCTATGCCAACTAATTTTTTTCTTTCTTTCTTTCTCTGCTCTTCTCTGTTCTCTTTCTGTTTCTTTGTATTCTCTGCTCATTCTAAGTCAAAAAAAAAGAGTGCTGAGATTGTAAAAAAAAAAGAGAACCGCAAACATTCGTTGTTTCTTCATCTCTGTGTTTCTCTTTCAATAGTAGTACTATCGAGCGACAAAAAACCATTCTTGCTTCCTCTAGACTAAGGAAATACTCAAATGCAGAACCTTTCTCTTTTTCTTTTCTATTTCTACCATGTGCTACCATCACAAATGTGTAAGTTGAGAAAGAACTCATAAGCATCATTGTAATAAGAAATTCATCAATCTATTTTTTAGTGATCTGTAAAAATTAATACTAAAATGAAAATGGTCACTTCAATTTAAATGCATTTCGATACAAGACTACTTATTGTGTATATATTTTTATTTACTATTAATTTTCTACTATGTTGCGGTCAATATTCAGATGAACAAAGTTACTTATCATTAATTGAATTTCAACGTGGTGGTCCATTTACAAATGTGATATTATCATCTCCTCATGGTGGTTTTCTTGGCGCTAATTTATCATCAAATAAAAAAGGAAAATCATCAGTTAATGAAATTTTAACAACACCATTATCACAACTACCTAGTGGCGGTTGTTACAACAATACATTAGATCGTTGTGTATATACATTGCGAGATTGTTTAAGATCGGATAGCAATAATGGTGATAAAATATCTTTTCGACCTGATGCACGGTGTATTATTGATCGTAGTTCAACATCAGCCATGTATACATTAACTAAAGCTATATCAGAAGCATTTTCATCCGATTATCGTCCCTTTACTATTTTAAATAAACTCACTCGTCAGTATGTTGATCCCACTGAAGATCTACTTACTGGAACATTTCTACTTGAAAGTGCTACTCGTGTATATATGGATTATCATCGATTAATAGCTATGTCAAAAGAAGCGATACGTTCATCATCACGTGGTCTTTTTATTGAATTTATTTTTCATAAAGATTCTCAAACAATTCAACTTGGTTATGGTTTTGAACTGAGTCGTTCAATAATTGCTACTAAACCATCACAATCAACTATCAATGAATTAATTTCACGTTCAGGTCCTAGTATTATCAAAGGAAATAATTCTCTTGGTTATTTTCTACATCTTAATGGATTTCAATCTGTTCTACCATTAGAACATCAACGACAAATTCAATATCGCGTATCCACTCATTCCACCCGAACACATGCTGATCAAAGATTTAATGCGATTTTATTTTCATATCCTATTGAACGTTTAAGAACACATACACTTAAACTCGAAGCAATTCGTATTGCCAAGGCTATCGAACAGTTTATAAAAACAAATAATATAAAGTCTAGATCACCACCTCGATGTTTATCTTCTGTCAATTCGATCAGAATACTATTATTATTATTATTCTTGTCACAATTTTTTTTCTGCTACATACATTTATGATTAATATTATATCATACTCTTTTTTTTATGACCACTTATTCAATGATGTTGTTATTTTAATTGATTGTACATGTACAGATTTTTTTTTGTACAATGATTATAACAGAATAAAGGAAGGAAGTTTTGATTGAATAAAAAAAAAGTAGACAATACTTTTTGCATGAATTCTTTTTTGATTAGAATATAACTATCTCTTACAGACATATACATTGTTCAATTATCATTAGAACACTCCCGGCTATAGAGGATATAAAACAGCAGATGGTTAATGGCGCGTCTAAATCAATCGTGAATATGAACAAGATAAAAATACTTTATAACAAGCTGTGACATAAGACTCATTTACTAGATCAAATTGAATACAATTTTCTTGTTAATAGTTATTATAATTGAACATATAGACTGACTTTAAATTGATAGAGAGAGAGAGAGAGGAAGAGAGGTACACAACTGTTGTATTATGTTGAGAAAAAGAAGGAATCACGGACCAGCCGCTAGGTAAAATAAACAAACCGAAATTCTAATGAATTTCTTATCTGACACAAATATATGTTCATAAAACAAACAAAAAAAATGAAAAAGGAACCATCTAGATTAAATCGCGTTTTTCAACATTGCAAATTTTTCCAAATGGACAACTAAATAATTTACATGATGCACATTTAAATGGTACAGTATAAAATAATGTAATTAATACAATAAATAGGGCAATTGTTATTGCTAATGATGCGGTAACGACAACAAAATGACGAACATTCTTCTTATAACTAACATCAGGAAAAACAATCATATTTAACATAAAACCAATGAGAAAACCAAAACATTGGGCATAATTATCAACTAATGGAAGTAAACCAACAGTAAATAATAGGCAGAGACAAATAATAATTTTAAAAAATGGTATCCATGGCTTTTTTAATGAACGCCAACCAAGAAACAACTCGCTAAGATAACACGCTAGTATAGCAAATTGTCCACCTCCAGGGCCCACTTGAATGGAATCACGTAAAAATAATGCACTAGCTAAACTTCCAACAAAACCAGATACAATATAGATAATCATTACACGAATACAACCCGCTAATTTTTCTAATGGACGCATAATTGTATATTGAAATATAATTGTTATTAGTAAATGAATTAAACTAAAAAAGAAATAAAATAAAATTTATTTTGACTTTGAAAAATAGAATATTTACCCAGCATGAATAAATATAACTGTCCAAAATCGATAGACTTGATCAGGTAATCGAGCTTTAGAAGAAGAAAAAAAACAAGAATAGAAAAATCAAGTAGGTATAAATAATTTGTTTATTTACCAACAAAAAATTCCAACATACCACAAACACTTTGAATACAATCAACCTAAACACAAACAATATTGTTACAATAGAGATGACATATTATACATATTAAATCAAGTATATACTAAGCTCAAGATCAAATTTCATATTCTATCACATACCTATCTTTACAAAAGAAATTTTTAATCAAGGCTTACAAAATAATCTATCTAGTAGAGATTCATTGTATTTATCTTACTTGAGAACATAAATGTGCTCGTTGATGAAATATGCCTCGTCGATCACGGCAATCATCCTTTGATGTTAATATACAATCTCCAAGTACACCAGTACAACATGGTCTCACTAAAAAATGAAAATATTTATTTAGAAACAAAAATAGTATTATTGTATCTAAATTTACCTATATTTATACATTGCATATGTGGATAAAGTGATATATTATTAGCAATTCGATGATGATCTTGTTCAAGACAAATCTAAAAGAATTTTTGTTTTTAGAAGAAATATTTTTCCTATTTGTATTTATAATCAATTTACCGGCCATTTTATAACTGATGGAGACCATTTAAAAATTTTTGAATTAACTGATGTCGATGACCATGAACTCTCATCTTCTCGTGGTACGTTTCCAAATAATTTTTTCGTACATGTTCTAAGAAAAAAAACCTAATATTATAAAAGAAGCACTAAACTATATTCATTACTCTGGTGTTAAACCGCATACAGCTGGATAAACAATATTACGATAATCTTTCAAATTTTTACTCTTCAATGCAGATCTATACCATGTTAAACCTGATCGTGGCTAAAAATTGAAAAATAAAAATTATTCATTAATTATTTTTAAGCAATAAAATATTCATACAAGACATTGTTCAGATAATGTTTGCATACAACGTCCAGTTATTGAATTAATACAACAACCAGACATAGATTCTAATCTTGCTTGTTTTTCATATCGACTTTTAACTTCATCATGTGTACGAATACATGGTGTATATTTAGCTCCTAATCGTATTAAATCAGCTGGATGTGGACCAAACCATGGATTCATTGTTAAATCAGATCTTGGTTGTTCAAATATAGAAGAATTATTCTAGAAGAAATTACTTTGTATTTTTAATAAATAAATATTTAATAATTACAGATTGAGTTGATGATAACGGAGCATAACCGTATACAATTAATGAAATAATACAAACAAGAATTTGAACAAATGTTACCCAATAAGTAAAATATGGTCGATGTGAACGATAAGATTCTTGAATTTCAACGATTTGTTTTTGTTTGGCTTTTATTGATTGACGATTTGAACGAGAGAAACGAGAAAAAATTACATTAAATGGACGAATTTTAGCAAAATCTATAAAATAAAAAAATGCTAGTTTTATTTCTTTCTGAAACTCGAAATAAAATATCAATTACTATGTAATCGTTGTTGATTAGTCGAAGTATTCGTTCGTGGCGTTACAATAACTGGCGTTGGTATAACTTCATTATCCGTTTGTGTTGATTCCGTACTATCAAATAAATAGAAATCAATTAATGCAAATATTTTAAATAAGTTTTCTTCTACCAAGGATATGTATCAACATGATCATGTTCATCAATTCCAATTGGTTCTGTTATTATTGATGGTCGATCTTTTTGAATATTTTTATCTGTTAATACAATATTTTTTAAACAAACACTAGATTTATCCGATTGTTCATCTTCGTCTTCTTCCTATAAAAAAGAAAAAAAACACAGTTAGGTTTTATTTCAAAATAAATAAATAAAATAATGATAAGAACAGAGGGAAAAAAAAGAAGGCAATTGCAAAAAGCAAAGAACAAAAATCAGTTCAAATCATCAATCAAGTGCTTTCTCCCCATATGATAAATGTTATGTGTATACAAGAAAAACGACACACGTTTATTTTATGTGTCTACCTCATCAAATGATGTCGATGCATGCATCGATTTCGCACGTGGCATATCGTCCGCCTGGAAACGACATTCAATGATAATATTAAAGAAAAGAATACTAATGATGTAATTTTTACTTACAGAAAGTAAATTACGAACACCAGTAACAGCCATACCCAATATTGATTCACGTTTTACATTTAATGCTTCAGAATCCATACTACCTGGTGTCGTGGCTTGTGGTACTGGAATTATAGGTCTTGAAATAGATTAGATTACAAAAACAAAATTAGATAAAATAATTATTTTTTTCGTGTACCTTTGTTCAATATCAGTACCTTGTTCATTAACACCAAGTTGATCAACAACTTCTTCTTTTAATTCTCCACCAAACATACTATATTTACTTAAAAAATTATAACGTCTTTGTTGCCAATTTTCTTTGTGCAATGCTGGAGCAGCAGCTGTTGCTAGAATTGGACTAGCATTTAATTGCATTACACTAAAATAAAAAAAATTCTTTATAAATATCGATATCTTTGATTTTTATTTTGTTATATCTAATCTGAAACTATGTCTGTTATCTACCGATCATGTGGATTGATTTGTTCTGATACCGTACGTCTTTTTTTTATCTGAGCAATTGTTACATTGCCTCCAGGTAATTGTCGAAGAATTAAACCTGTTGAAGGTAATGGAATTTGTGATAAGAGTCGTTTTGTACGTCCCATTGTTGTCATTGGAAATTCTGATTGCTGCCGATAATTATCATTATCATCATTAGTAGCCATCTGTTTCATTCGAATACAAAACTTATATTTCAATCAAAGATATTTAAACACCAAAAAACGAATATGCTATACGCCAATTGGTCTGTAGACAAGTAATGTTAATAAAAAAAATATATGAGAAATACTGAAGGAGAGCATGAAGAAACAAATGATGTGTAACAAGAAATAAAAGAATAATATTCAAACGACAGAAAAGGAAAAAAAGACTACAATGTATGTTTTGTCGCCGTCTGATATGAAATTTAAATTATGAATTATTATTCTCGTTCTAGACTTCAGATAAGAAATGACATCGATAATTATTTGAAATGATAAGATACAGCATAACCAATTTATTATAGAAGAAAAGATAAGAAATAATTTGTCACTAGATTCAATTGATAGTAGTAGAACGATGTGTAAAAAAAGAAATGATTCTTATAATTATGTTTTTTTTTCTTTACGAATCGATCAAGGCAAAAAGAAATTGATTATGCACGATAATCTAATTGAAGAAATTTGATGGTTTATACATAAGAGAAAGACAAGTCGCACATTTCTATAGAATACAATCTTTTCTTTCTAAGTATCTACTGATAGATATCATAACTTATTATTCTATTGATAGGAAAAAATATATTAGTCAATTTAAAATACTTTATTATTTAAACAAATGTTTGATATAGGAAAGATCTATTTAAAGACGTCAACTACTTGTATAAACAAATAACTGACAAGATAGAGAAAGCAAATAATAACAAATGCGAAAGAATAATTTGGGCGTTATGTTGTATATTCTAGATAGTAATATGCATCTGCTATTTCTCTTTTTTTTTGTTTTTCTAATCTATGATTGGACTGTAGAATAGCTATATCATCAGATGTAATAACTGCATATATATATAACACCTTATAATAAATCCAGGATTAAGTGCATGTATTATTATTACTATTTACTTAATATGATATAAAACGATGTATAAATGTTATTTTTACCTATTCGATTCGTCTATTAAATCATTGATAAGACTAATTGTTGGAGTAGATGATGATGAAAATGAAAAATATTCATCATTTTCAATGTCATGATCTTGTTTAATAATTTCACTTTTATTAATATCATTGTCTAACAAATGATACTGAATAATAGAAGACATTGATGATGTCATGTTATAATTAGTAGTATAGATGTTATTCTATGATTTCCATCGACTATACAATTGTTTTGTATATATAGCAGAAAGCAATCAAGTTATGTTATTGACTACGTCCTATCAAACTATTCGATGTACATATAAATGTACGAGAAAAAGTAATTCTTCGTCTTGTTCCATGTATGAAAGCAAACTTGTTATTTAAACACGTCTTTTTTCTCTCTCTCTTTTGCTTTTGTTCTTTTCTTCTTCTTCAAGTCTTATTCTCTATCAATCACCAACACGATTATATCGACCTTTTTCTTCTATTCAATAGGTTACAATCATTATGTATCAAACATTCTTTTAGGTATGAATATATATACATATTCTTATATGAGATTGTGTTTTTATACCTCAGTAGAATAGATAGATAAATTATTAATGAGATTAGGAACCTGTTTTTCTTATTTCTTCTATTCCAGTTCGAGAAAAATCATTTCCGGCCATGTTTATTATCTGAACGATACAATTCCGGATGTTACTCATTATTTCTCTTTAAATAAATTTCACATAGAAATTTTATTTTGTTCTCAAATCTACAATTTCTAGAACAATTAAACAAAAATTTTAAATTCTATTCTAATTAAATCAATTTCTTTGTTTGATCATAAGTAAAATATTATATAAAAAGTGTGAATTAATTATTTAAATATAGATACTTTCTCGTATAATTCTATTTACTATATCTTTTTCTTTTAATAGAATTATATTAATAGAAAACGACGTCAAGTGTAGTATGAAAGCGTAACATTAAAAATGCATGTGATCCAATTACATATTGAAAATTGATCTGAGAAATCTTACCGCTTGGTTAAATTATACCATCCAATTGGTTCATTAGCAACAGTTGATGAATTCATTGATGTTGATTTTGGAATTTCCTTTTCATTTTCCAAAACACTTTCAACAGCTAAATTCCATAAATGACGACTACGAGATGAATTACCGGTTAGATTTCCTTTATTAATTGGACTACTTGGTGATGATAAGGATTTCCTTGGTTGCATAAGTAATGCAGCAGCTTGTGAACGAACTTAAAATATTTATTAAAAAAACAAACATATATATTATAAACAACAAAGACAACATTTTTTTTCAATTAACCTTTTCGAGTTGAATGACGTCTGATTTGAGGATGATGGCCGTTTTCTGCCATTGATTATTGTATATATTAGATTAAAAGAACGATATTGATTATTGTTTTACTTATATAAAATGCAACTTTACATGTGCCCCTTTTTTCGAAAAAAATGAATTCTTATAAAACGAAACAAATAAACATTATGCATAACGCTATAATCTGATTTATTCGTACCAGTGATTGGATCTTGTTATCAGACACACAGAGACATCTTAGATGGCATCAATCAGTAACAGATGACGCTCAAGAACGTAATATCCGATTTTATTTGTTCCGTATTTCTTTCCGTTTTTTTAAAATATGATAATATATGCATACAAATGATATTTCTCACTAAAGGAATATAAAATAGACTATAATATGTTAATAAAATTTATTTAATATTAATTTACAATCTATCATGTATAATTTTATGTATTCGAAAAATGATTTATTTCGAATTGCAATCACGTATAGTCTAGTTAGAATCGAATCATTTTTATAGTTTGTATTATAGTCAAAATAATAATGTGACTATATTTAAAAAAAATATCCAGGCGTCGGTGTTTTTATTTAAGCATGAATATCTTATCAAAATAAGTTTTTTTTATTATAAAATGCATTTATTTATCAGGTAATTTTTGTTATTTCAAGATAACTTTTGCAAAGGTCGTTCTTTGTTTTAATACAATCCTAATGCACCATAACAAATAATGTGTCTTATCTAGTCTGTCTAATCGTGTATGTTTATATTTTGTTTTTCTTTATTTTTTTTGATTGTAATCTACGCTTCTTTGTTATCTCTATGTATAAAAAATAGGGCCATGAAAAATAAAGGTGTGTTAGATTACAATAAAAACGAAGTAATAGACAAGGATACGACGACTATCAAACTCGTGAGAAAAGCAAGCATCGAACGATTATTATTGTAATTGCTACAATGCCTATTCAATCACCTATTTATTTAGTTGCTAGTGGAGATTCACGTCTTGCTGCTAATCAAACATGTTGGGAAGCACAGGATAAACTTGAACAAGCACTTGGTAAAGCACTTCAATCACTTGGTCATACTATCGAACGTGCACATAAATATGATGAAACAAAAAAACATGGTTTTATTGATAGTCAACGTATGGGTATGAAAGTATTTGCAAATTTACCATCTGATAATGTACCATTGATTGTTGCTGAAGCTGTTTGGCAATATTCTCATCATATTTTAGCTGGTTTAACAACACATAAAGGTCCTATATTAACTGTAGCTAATTGGTCTGGACAATGGCCAGGTTTAGTTGGTATGCTTAATTTAAATGGTTCATTGACAAAAGCTGATGTAAAATATAGTACATTATGGTCAGTTGATTTTACTGATGATTTTTTTACAAATAAACTTAAAGAATGGCTTGAAACTGGAAATATTCAACATGATCTATCACATGTACGATCATTAAAAGATTGTAAAAAAATACCAGATGATTTAGAAAAAATTGGCAGTACAATCGCACAAGATATATTAAAAAATAAAGCAATTATGGGTGTATTTGATGAAGTATGAATATAAACTTGAAATTTAACAATGAATTATTTTTTTTTCTTCAAAGGGTTGTATGGGAATGTATAATGCTATAATACCAGATGAACTTCTTCATAAACTTGGTATTTTCAAGGAACGTCTTAGTCAATCTGCACTTTTCTTTGAAATGCAAGAAACAAAAGATGAAGAAGCTCGTGCTGTTTATGATTGGCTTAAAGAAAAAGGCATGAAATTTGATTTAAATGATAAACCAAATGATTTAACTGATTTAACTGAACAACAAATTCTTTCGCAATGTAAAATGTATATTGCTGCTGTACGTATAGCTAATGATTTTGGTTGTGATTTAATTGGTATTCAATATCAACAAGGTTTAAAAGATTTAGTACCAGCATCAGATTTAGCTGAAGGTTTATTAAATAATGTTGATCGTCCACCTGTTAAAGATCGTAAAAATGAACATATTCTTTTTGAAAATGCTGTTGTACCACATTTTAATGAAGTTGATGAATGTGCTGGTGTTGATGCACTTATTACAAATCGTGTTTGGAATAAATTAGGCTATTCACCAGAAACAACATTACATGATGTACGTTATGGTGAAGATTATGATGGTATATTTACATGGGTTTTTGAAATATCAGGTGCTGTTCCACCTGAACATTTAATTGATGGTTATAAAGGTGCATTTAGTTTACGTCAACCACCAATGTATTTTCATAAGGGTGGTGGTACAATTCGTGGTGTTTCAAAACCTGGTGATGTTGTTTGGAGTCGTATATATACAGAAGATAATCGATTAAAAGCTGATATTGGACGAGCACGTATTGTTGAATTACCAAAAGAAGAAACTGAACGACGTTGGCGTGATACTACACCACAGTGGCCTATTATGCATGCACAATTACTTGGTGTTAGTCGTGATCAATTAATGGCTAAACATAAAGCAAATCATGTTCAAGTTGCATATGCACCTGATGCTCAAGGTGCACAAAAAGCATTAGCAGCTAAAGCAGCATGCTTTCAATCATTGGGCATTGAAGTGTTTATATGTGGTACTGAATCAGGACTTGAATAGAAGACGAAGAAAAAAAAATTAATGAAAATGTTTAGAAACTTTTCGTAGTTTTTTTTTTAATTATAATAGTTTTATTTATAATTGTTCTAAATAATAAGAACAACTTATGTTTCACATAATTGAAAAACAAACCAACAAACTACAACAGGAAAATATGTATTAATCTACATAATACGGGAGAAAAAAAACAAAAATTTATACAAGAGATTCTATTCAAAAATACTTTAACTGATCTAATAATTTAAGATGAACGATCATTTTTTCGTTTTGGTGTTGTTGATGATGGAGTACGACGAGGTGTACTAACTTCCGTAGGTTTTAAACGTCGTTCAATATCATTAAGTACAGGCTAAATAATAAATAGTTAAATAACAAAAGTTTTCAAAAAATATTTTACCATAAGATATTTTTTCCATGCTAAATGTTCTTCTTTATCATAATCATCTTCATTTTGTTCAGTTGATTCTGTTGCATTCGGAAAATTTTCTTTTAATATACGATATGATGCTATTGTTTTTATATTTAATTTACTAAGACAAAATGCAACATTAGCACGTTTTCGATCATCACCACTAGAAATAAACCAATAAATTCAAAAAAATTTAAATTTTTTTGTTTTTCTTACCAAGCTTGTTTAAATTGTCGACAAAGACGTTTAACTAATATTTCACAATGACGATCATTTTTAATAAATGAAAAAAGATGTGAAATAATCTGTTGAAATAAATCACGTGAACATATATTATTCATTGATAAACGTGAAATTATATCAGGTAAAACATTAAATAAAGCAAGACCACGTTGTCGTAAAGATAATTCATCAAAAAAATGTTGAGCAATACTTGATATTGGTGTATGAGAATGAAATAAACATAAAGCTATTTCACTAATATAACCACGAACCTTAATAGAATTAAATTAAAACAGTTTTGCAAAAAAAATTTCTTCATACTTTTATCATTTCTCGTAGAATAAGTATAGCTATAGTACATAATGCTGTTTCACCAACATTTAAATCTTTGTCATGAATTTGTGCATAAAATTGTGGTGTATATGGTTCAATTATATTTGGATGTCTTTAATAAACAAAAAAAGTTATTTTAGAATTGAATTAATAATTAATCGACTTACCGAAGAAGTAAATCACCAAGAGAAACAATTAAAGCAGAACGTACAGATGAATATGAACATAATTTACAAAGTTCAAAGATTCGATCGACATATTTTGAACAGAGATTAGGTGAAACATACATCATACGAGTACAAGTTAAAATACTTGTTAGAACAAGATTTTCATCATATGATGAATGATCTTCATGAATAAACTAAAACAAAAATTTATTTTCTTATTAAAAAAAGTTAAACGGGATTAATTTATTTCTTTTCTGAACTGACAAATTTTAACGCTACTCCTCCCAATTGTCAAATCGCTTTTTGAATGAACCTTGCTGGGTTCTCGGTTATCAACTACGCTCATTCCAAATATGGGTATAAGAATGTCCTTAAGCCTATATAGAAAACTATCGTATGAAATCCCGAATGACAATCAAAATAATAGTATCTACGATCTTTTTTAGTATAATTCTTACTAATTCCATCCATTTGTCAATTGAATAAAAAATTGAATTTGTTTGAAATAATTCTTGTTCTAAATGACTTAGATCTGAGTTTTGTTGTTGCATAAAATGATTATTTTCTTCATTATCATTTTTTTCTTCATCTTCTTCATCAAATAATTGCCGTGATACTGATAATGTTGATGATGATAGTAAACTATTTTCATTATCAATTTCATTTTCATCATCATTTATAACTGAATGATTTTTTTCTTTTTGAATTTTTTTTATTAATGATAAATTTGTACATTCATATTTTTGTACACGATGAGTTAAAAAAGCATTTATCGTTGCTAATAATCGAATGAATATTACTCGCCATGATTTATCCATAATTTTCGTTTGATAATCCAGATATTCTAGAGGCCAATTTATTTTCTCAGCTAATAAACGAAGAAATTTCATTAGGAAATCATTTGCTGATATTTGTCGAGGTTCTTTAAGAAATATAATATTTAAAATTTGTTTCATACAATTAATCCATGATTGTTGTTCCGATTGTATATTTGATTCAAGTAATTTTTTAATAATTAAATCATAAAATTCATTTGGAATATCATATGAAGTTTTTCTTACTAATAAATTTGCTATAATTTGCATTTGATAATAAAAATAATCTAAATCATCTTTATCTAGTTGATGTATAAGACTTTGTATAATTGAATTTAAATGTGATAATAAACGATGTTTTTTATCATATGGTATAGCAAATGATATTAATTGTAAAAATGAATTTTGACGTTGTTGAATTTGTTTAAAAAAGTCATCTGATAAATTTTTTTTTGAATTATCTGTTGTTAATTTTAAATAATAATCAAGAAGAACTTCAATAAACGAAAAAAAATTTGCTGTTGTTGAAGTTGATTCGTTCAGAAGTTGTTTAAGAATATGTTCAAATGTTAATGTTAAATTTAAATCAATTTGATCGAGTAATTTTTCAATTATTCGCTTTGATGATATTCTACAATAATAAACGAATTTTTATTAGGACAAAAAATAAAATGTTCTTCTCATTTTCTCTTGATTAGAACTAATAAAAACAAAGGGAAAATATCTCATTGAAAATGACCACGCATGAAATGTACATTTAATTATTAACCCTTTACCGGGTGACTTTTGGATGAGCAAGTTTTGTCGATTTTCTTCGTATAGAATTATAGCTTTGGTGTAAATTATTAGGGTATGGGTGTGAATGTGTGCGGCTGTGGCTGTGACTCTGGGTTTTGCCATTGTATCCACACCCAAACCGACACCCACACTCACACCCTCATAGATATATTTAATCTATGCAGTATCATAGTATTTTATATCAAAATAATTGTTCTTACTTCAACGTAACCCTATGATCGAAAAGAAAAAAAAGTGGTACATATATTTCCCACCGCCTGTTAAAGGGTTAATGTTTATGTATATCGATAATAGAGCTACGTGTCTACGTCTTTGGACCTGGGCTCGACCCAGACTCCGTTAGGCTCAGACCTGGATTCTTTTTACCAATATAAAGCACCCTCTGTATGCAAGGTAGAGATACGGGCCCAGGTCGGGTATGGGTCGACCCGCAGCTCCCTAATCGGCAACTAAAAAGTCTTTTATATTCAATTGTAAATTCTCTTACTTTTCATCAGTATTTTCTTCATCGATCTTTAAACAAATTCTTTTAAATGCATTAATAACAGCATTGGAAATATTTTTATCATTTGACCAAATCAATGAAAATAAATGTTTTTCAAGTTTTTTATATACATTTGATTGACATTCGAATGTTGACCACTAATATTAAAAGAAAAATTTTAATTAAAATAAAAATAAATATTATTCATTACATACCAAAACAAGAAAATCAATTATTTCAAGAACATCACTTGTTACTTTTGAACTAAGTAGATAAAAAGTTTCTTTAGCAAGAAATCTTCGTAAAAGATTACAAAAATCAGTTGCATTATGTAAATATGTTCTATAAAAAAATAATATGAAAATTATTAATTCAATCTTTTATTTTTACTTACACAAGTTTTGATTGTTTAACCATATTATCAAATAATCTTGTAGCTTTTTCTGTTGGTTCTTCATCATCAATAACTTCAATGTCGCATGTTTTTGCTAAACAATTATTAAGTCTACTTTGTAGTTGTATTAATTTACTCATTTCAGCATTATAAAGTTCAAATGATGGTAATGATTCATCAACTAAATACATTGAACAAACATTTTGTTGTTGTTCAACAATACGTTCAAATAAAAGATGTTGATTATCAAGATCATTTTCTTTTTCATTGTCATGGATTTTATCCGTATCAACTGGAATATTTTCTACTTTTAATGTTTGTCCTAATAATTTTTGTAATTGAACTAATTTATTCATTTCAGTATTATATTCATCGAGCATTACATCAATTGGAAGAAACTAAAAATAATATCATATATCGCATATCTTACGAAGGAAAATGGTGGATGTAAGTTATAAGTCGCGATCTCACGGCTATTGTCCCTCATTACAGATCTTAGCAATCGACATGAAAAGTCATTGGGTGTGGGTGACAGGTTATAGTATACTACTCACACCCATCTTATGAATCTCGATTTTCTTCAGAACAAAAATCTATAGCGAAACTTTTATCATCATAGTAGCTAATTCAATATTATCATAGGCGAAACTTATTTCGATAGAAAACTTACTCGATCAATATAAGGATTAAATTTAAGTAATTTCGTTGCAAGTTGTATAGCATGTTTTCTTACAATACATGATATATCATTCATTCTTTCAATAGTTGCTTGTGTTAAATGGCAATAGAATTTAGTTGGAATTAATTTTGATTCAACTAAATTTATACATAATCCAATAGCATGTGATCGTACATGTACATTAGAATCAAGAAAATATTGATCAATAATTAATAAAAATAATTCACCACGTAATTCTTTATATTCAGATAATGATGAACAATAACGTATAATATTTACACAAATATTTAATAAACAATTACGCATTTGTAAACAATCACTATCGAATAAATCAAGTAAACGATTAATATATATTATTAAATGATCACATATATGTGTTGATAATTCATCAAGTAGTTTAGCCATAGTTCGAGAACTATTTGTTTCTGTTTGATTATTTAATATAGATGTATTTGAACGGGAAGAAGAATGATTAGATGTAGATGTTGGAGCAATTGCTGGAGAAAGACAAAGAAGACAAATATCACTAAAAAATAACGAACATGTTCTTTATTTCTCTAAATTAATTATTTTTTACTTAATAATTCTTTCTAATAAAGTATCAGTTCGAAAATGTTTTACATGACAAACAATAACAGCTGAAAAGATTGTTGCTGTATGTTCTTGAATTTGTAGCATTTGAATCATTTTCATACTAGTTTCTAAAAACACAAAAAATCATATAGAATTTTATTGCTGAAGTAATCATTAAAATACCTTCTTCAATACGAAATTGTCCAATTGTTAATGCTAATATAAATGATAAATAATCTTTCACTGTTCTTGCACGTGATGAAAATTGATTATTTCGAATAATGGTTAAACATACATCAACGATTGTACTACAAAAAAACATTTTATTTCATACAATAAGACATCATTGAAGTTATTTTACCTTCCAATTTGTTGATCTTCTAATCTTTCTGTTTCATGCCAAAACTGTCGAAGATCAAGTTTAATTAAATTTGTAAATAAATGAAGTATTTCATCTCTTTCATTAATATACCAATCAATTTGACATGTTTGAACCGATCGTTTTTGTTTTTTATTATTTGGAGTTCCAATATGTTGCTGTTGTTTATCATTATCAATAATTAAATGTTCAAGTACAAGTAAATATCGACAAAGAAGATCTAATGAGAATAATATCATATGACGATGAATATTATCAACATTGGCTTTTTGATGAGAACTAATTGAATCTATTTCACTTTGTATAGCTAGAAATAAAAATAATAAAATCGAAAATATGTTTTTTCTTAAATATATATTTACCATCTTTAAGAAGAACACTAAATATTTTTCGAATATCATGGGATCGTTCAACATGCCTTAAAAAAATATAAAATTTTTTTTCAATATTTTTTTTTCTAATATAAAATAAATACCCAATAAGATCGTCAGCAATAGCATGTAATTTTGATAGACTATATGCAGGATTGTTATGTTTATTTAATTGACATTCTTAAATATAAATTTTATAATCATATAGAATATTCTGTTAATACTAACCTTTAAGCAGTATATTTAATTCTTCCTTGCTAATGCTCATGACTATTTGATTGTAATAGAAGTTTTTTTTTAATATTTACATCTAAAATAGAAAACAAAGGCGCCATTGTTATTTTCTATTAATTCTAAATGGACAATAATACAGATAAAGAAGAACAACAATCGAAATCTTTAGGGTATTAGAAATCTTTTTTTTAAATAAATACTTAAATATTTCATTTAGAAATAAACGATATTCAAGTTTATCTATCATATCATCAAATAAAGAAAAATCAAGTTTACTTTTACCTCATGTGATTCACTTTGGATGTGACCAACATTCAGGAAATGAATTATGGGATACATCCTATTTTTTTTCAATACTTTTTGAACTCTTAGATGAATATAAAGATAATATTCAAGAAGAATCTCGTCTTACCGCTTTTATTCTATGTCGTCTCGATGAAATTAATTTTAATTCACAAATACCCTTAAAATTACTTATTCAAGTATTAAAATATTTTCATACAATTCGTTTAAAAATTCTTATTCTACTCGAATTTTTAAATATATGTGAAACAATTGATTGTTCTCAAGCTCTTATGTTATTATGGCAATTTTCAACTTATGGTTATATGACATTATTTTATGTATTAGATCGAATTAAATTTTCAATTATTGATAAAGATATTGAATGGAAATCATTATTAACTATCTTTGAACCACTGGAAAATAAGAAACATGCAGCTTATATTATATTAGACAAAACAAATTTTTACAAACCAAATCAAGCAACAATTGTTTTCGGATCAAAAAGACTCAAACGATACTTTTAGTTTTGACTTTTTGTCTATCTTGACATGGCATTGTCATTTGCTTTTAATATTACTTTTTATTGGTTCATCCTGTACATCCATATATTAAAATAAGATGATAGATGTCAGTTCAATAAGTTCAATCATAGATAAATCAAAATTTGTTATTAGCGATATAGATGGTCTTGTCTGTTAAAAGAGTTTTTAATTCAGTATAATGAAACAGACGTGTTCTCTTATATCATAATCGTACTTTACGGCAAGAAAATATTAATCCTGACATGGCCACTTGAAATTCGAACGTTTTATTTTATGGTGTACTGAATGATCTATGTGTACATTAGTTAATTCTAGTCCTTCATTATTGATCTGCTGACAGAAACTTCTAAACATCTCTTTTAGTCATATCAGGGTTAATTACATTTATCATATTCATATAAAAGTTGTTTACATAAAGAAGACATTTTTAATCGGGTCAATGTGTAGGTAGTACTAGTTAATATAAACAATAACAAAATACTTAGTGTTGTAGAGGTCGATCAATATCATTAACATCTAATGTAGATATAAATATAATGCTAATGAAAACGTCCTTTACCATCATTAAGATTATCTATGAAAGATTAATGTATGTGATAATAGCTTTTTCGTTTATAAATCTTTATCTGAATTTAATCTGATTTTCAAAAAAGAAGAAGAAGAAAAAGAATTGAAATAATCATCAACTTAGACTACCAAATACACCCTTATCCACAATAAAATAATTACATCGATTTGTTTTTGGTATATGATAACAATAATCAATAGATAATGAACGTAAATAAACAACATTTGTTTTAATACTTGTTGTTGCTTGTCGTTCATCATAGACAACTTGTGATTGTTGAGAATCTGGATGATGTTCTTCAATTTTTTCTGTTTTAGTCAATTGTATACGACAATGAACAAGAAATGCCCAGGTAAGACCCAACGCTGGACCTAATATCATCGGTTGTGATAATAAAGATAAATCTGTTGGTTTTTGTCCAAATTGAGTTTGTACCTAAAATAGAAAATATTAGAATTGATAACGAAAAGATAAATTAATTATGTATACTTGATTGACACACACAATAGCAAGATTATATCGTTGACATAATGTATGCATAGCAAAGCCAAAATATTGTAAAGTATTTGCTTTAGTATGATGTTCAAACATAATATCTTCAGAACGAAAAATAGCAGCTAATGAATCGATAATAATTAATCGAATGCTTGGTTCACGATTAAGTAATAAAGGAAGTCGATCAATAAGTGTCATTTCTAAATGACGCTAGTAGAAGAAGAAAAAAATAATAGTTAACATAAAATTTAAAAAAGAACAGTGACATACATAATGTCGAATAATATCAAGATAAATATTATCAAAAAATTTTTGTTGTAAACATCGAGCATCAGCTATATTAAATGGCTTATCAGTTTTTGCACGATAATATGAGATATGTTTTAATCGTTTATCGATTTTTTCAATTTGAGATTCAGTATTAATATAAACTACTTCTATACAAAAAGAAACAAGAAAAGAATAAATAAGAAAATGAGAAAAAAATAATTTACTGGCTTCTTGTCCTCGAGCTCGAAATGTTCGTTGTACTTCTAAAGACATTTGAATACAAAATTGAGTTTTTCCACAACCACTTTCACCATATAATTCCGTTATTTGACCTAAACGTATTCCACCATTTAATGTTTTATCAATAATTGGACAACCTGTTGAAAATATTGTTATAGTATCACGTTCATTTTCAATCATTTGCCAAACTAGATAAATAATTGAATAAATTTATTTAATTTATATTTCAAACTAACCCGACATTTGTCGTCTTGAAAAAGGATAAAATGTATTTGAAACACATTGTAATGCAATATCAATATCTGCTGGGAGCAAATGTGTTGTACGAATTATTTCATTTGGATCCAATTCCAAAAATTTTTGTAAAGAATATTTCGTTCCATAAGCTAAATATATGATTTAGATATGAATAACTTCTATGAAAAATAATCAACCTCGATTAAGTTTTCCTTCAACATTTGGTGGTAGATCAATATCATTCAAAGTAAGAGGCATATTTCATATCTATAGAAATCCGTAAATCATAATCTTTACTCTTTTTTTGCTAAGGGTCATAATAAATATTCAATAATTGACATGAAATATACTTGTTAAAACAGTATCATCAAAGTTTACAAAAAAGAAAAAAAAAACATAAAAAACAATAAAAGTTATTTTTCTACATAATAAGTAAAAGTATAACGAAATAGCACAGATCTTGTTTCTTATATATATATGTCCTTTTTTTCATATCTCATTCAACAGTAATGGATTTATTTGTATTTTCTTCAATAGTTAATTTTTGATTGAGATTATCCTCAAGTTCATCCATATTTTCTACATGATTTTCATTATCATCATCTGTTGTTTGATCAATATGAACATTGTCTAGTTTAATATCAGTAGATGCAACAATATTATTATCGTCATCATCATCATCATCACTTGTTACAGCATCATGTTGTTGAATTTCCTAAAAAGAAAAACGAATTCAATTACATATTGTTTTTAATACATGGAAATTATTGTAAGAAAAGCCATGCAAATCGAAAAATCAGCATGCGAAGAAGAGCGCAATCATAATATTTGATAATATTTGCCAATCGATGTTTTATCATGCTCATATCATCATACCTTCGCTGTAAGTCGACCTGCTAATTCCTCTCTAAATTTTTCTTTTGCCCATTGTAGAAAATGAGCTGTATCATAGATCGTCGGCTGATAGATAATATCGATTAATTATTTTATTTTATTTTAATTAAAAATTAAAAAATCAAAAATGATTTCAACAAACACTTACTTCTTTATCTAATGCTGAAAAATCACCATCAATATGATCATTTTCTGATGCTAATTGTTGTTCAACAGCTTCTTCTAATTTCAATTGTTGTTGAAGTTGATCAAGTGATTCAATAATGTTACCTGAAAAAACAAATTCAATATATATAGATATTATTGAAAAAACAAAAATCTTTTTTTTTACTATCAGTTGTTGATGTATCCGATGGTGGACTAATAAAATCATTTATTGAAATATTATTTTCTTCATCATCTAATGTTGATTCTTTCAAATGCATACTTGTTGATAATGAACTATTTCCACTATCATTAACAGTTGTTATTGTTGTCTGTGAATCAATATTTGTTTTAGGTTGATTATTGAGACTTATTAATTCGGTATTATCATCTTCCCACCATTCTTCAATAAGATCAATATCATTTGTATCATTTATATGATTTTTATTATTATTATTATTATTTGGATTACGTCGATTAGAATTTGGTCGATTATTAAAATCATTTCGTCGTTGTTGATAATTATTATTATTGAAACCATATTGACGAGGATCATATGATGATAATGGAAATTGATGTTTATCTTGATATGTTCTTTGTTGTTGTGTTGATCGTCGTCGTTGATATGATGATGATGATGTTCCCCAATAATTATTATTATTAATATTTTCATTTTGATATGATGCATCATCGGTATTCATATATGCCGAAAGTGGAAGATTATTAGTGTTAGGAGTATTTCTTTGGTAACGATTATTATTATTATTATTATTGTTATTTGAAGAACGAAAAAAATTATTATTTGATTGATGTTGTTGAGATGCAAAATCATAAAATGATTGTGGACGTGTTTGAAAACGATTATCATTATTAAAACGTAAAGATGAATTACGTAGATGTTCAAAATCACTAGACATGGGTCGAGATTGTGAATATTTATTATCTTGATCGGATTTTTTTAAACGACGAAATCGTGGTGGTAAATCCATCGATAAATTTTCTTGTTGTTGTTGTTGTTGATGAAGATGAGAAGATGAAGATGATGGTGTTAATAATTGTGAAGGAGTTGTTGAAGGAGGAGGAGCAGTAAGTGGAGTAGTCGATTGAAAAACAGGTGATGATTGAAAAGGTGTTGAATTATGAAATTGCTGTCGATTTGAATTTTCAAATGTACGTGTTGGATGATATTGATGAAAATGTGTTTGAGAATTTTGAGATGAAGGTGGACCATTTGGCATAGATGATGATGGATGAGTAAAATAAACAGTACCATTTCCATTAAATGATGATGATTGTGTAGACGGTGAATACATAAAATTATGAAGATATGTAGATTCTAATAAAGATAAATAGATTTAATCAGTAGATTTATATATGAAATTTTTACGATCAATTTGATCGCCACCATTAGTCATAAGATGATCAACATTTGTATGATGTCCATTCATATTTGTTGGTAAAAGTTGTACATGAAGTGGAAGTGAAGGTGGTATAGAATTATTTTGCCATATTGGTATTTGTGGTACATCTAGATGAAATTCTGAAGGTCCTCCTGGATGACCATTATTATGTACTCCGGATCGACGCATTCGTTCTATAGATAAATCGATAGAATGAATTATTGATTTTTATTTTTGGCATTGAGAAAACAATAGTATGTTACCTTCTCGTCGACGTTGGCCTTGTTCTTGAGTTCGTTGTTGTTGTTGATTAAAACGTCCACTCCCAATACGTGTAGCTAAAATATATACGAAATAGAAATTTTTATATCTATATATTAGAATAAATATTATAAGTTAGAATAAAAGGCATTTCGTAAATCCACCACATGCAAATAAACGAAAAGGAAATAAAGAATGATAATAATAGTAAAAAAAACACATCATTCATGCAATTATGTGATTAACTATAACTGTGTAAAATATTAGCTTTGGCAACAAACTGTTTTATTTAAGAAAAATTAATCAGAATAAAATTGATAATACAAAAAACAATCATTAATTTAATGGTAATTTGCTTACTCGACGAGTGTTTGCCTGACGATTCTAATTAAGACGATGGTCTATAATAAAGTGTGTATGATTTCGCCCCCGTTCTTTTGTCTACACGCTTGCTGATGATCGTTAAATACACATATACGCGCAATATACTTTACGCTTTCGTCTCTCAGTTTTTACTCTTTATCCCCATTATCCTTTTTTTCTCCATTGACAAAGACGATAAAAATGTGCACATCGATCATCAAGGTATATATCTAACTATTCACTCTTATATATATGTATGTATCTAGATAAAATATATAAACGGTTTTTATGTTATGTTCAAAGGCATTTAATCAGCTGATCAATAAGCACCCCTCAATACCATCATGCAATACATAAGATATAAAAAGAGAAAGAATGAAAGAAAGAATGAAAGAAAAGAATAATACAAGCTGATAAACAAAGAGCAGCAAATTCATTCAATGAGCGATCAACAGTATGTTACCTACCTTGATTGTTTACAATGACAAGTTTTTTTGCATGTGCCGGTTCGTCGGCATCTACTCACAAAATTGATTTCAATAAGAAAGTCAAGAATGTCTTACAAATGAAAACGATATTTTTTTTTCTTTCTCAAAAAACCTTGTTTTTTTTTCTCAAAACAGAATATTCATAAAAAAGAAAGGTATCGATGACATAATATTTCGTTTATAAAATCTTACCATAATTATTTTCTGATTGATAATGGAATGGATATGCATATTCAAGTAATTCAGGACTAATTGTATTATTATTATTATAACATGAATTGGTAACTTCATGTGCTCGTTCATGTTTTAAACGATTATAATCAACTCTTTGTACACGTTGAGATTGTAGATCAGCACGATCCTTTCATAAGATAAATATTCAAAAGATTTTTATCAAAGATTTATATGATTTACATGTTCAAATTTTCGTCTTATTGGTGTTCGATGCATTTGTTCATGTTGACTTTCCTAAACATATAATTATGTTTTAAAAAGAACGAATACAATCAAACCGAAAAAAAATATACTTGAGAATGTTGTTGAGTTGCTACATGTCGTCCACGTTGTTTCGTTGTCTAAAGATTGATAATTAAACGTAAAATAAGCATGAATTTTTGTTACACTTACATTTCGCATTGCTATTGGTGTTATTGACGTGTCTTTTGTATATTCAACTGCAGATGTTATTGCCCCTGATTGTTCAGCAAGTTGACGGTCTTCTTCGATTTCCTTCAATAAATATAAACATACAAAAATAAGAAAGATATTTTTATAGATTAAAATATGATTCTTCTTTCTTTTTTTCTATCCTAGAATAACACTTATGTGAAGTCATACAATGTATATTATACAACTTCAGAGTAAATGAGCAACTATAAAAGAACACTAGATAAAGTGAATAGAGAAAAAAAACATTATTCCAGGCCATCAGTCATTACAATGGTTACTAGTATAGAACAAGTTCTCATAACGTCTATTGAAACTCTATATTCCTTATTCAGTGTACATACATATATTCTCTGTTACAAGCAAGAGAAAACGACGAAATAAAAATTGTCAAAAAAAAAAAAAGAAAAAAACTTTCTCTCCATCTTTCTTTCTCTTATTGCAATGATATTCGAGAATATGTAGAGAGTAGAGAAGAAAGAGACATAGAGAGAAAGAGAAAGAGAGAATAGACCTCTTAGTCGACAAATATCAATCGTTAGTAGTTTCCCTTATTCTCTCTTTTCTTTTTTCTTTTATTCGCTTCGTCTCTTGTCGTTTACTCTTATACACATATTCTCCAGACAAACAATTAGTATGTATTCAAGTACAAACCTGATGACGTTTCAGTAATTCTAAATTTTTGATGCGCATCTCAGCCATCTTTTGATCAATTGCCGTGATAGATGATATCCCATCCATCGATCAATAGCTTTATCTAAAATTGACACAAACATTAAACTAAATATACTCACAATGAACAACATAAATATTCACACATACCCTCCGATCATTTACATGATTTATTAGACAAAGAGATTGATACAAAAAAACAGATAATGAGGTCACTAACATGCGATCGACCAATTTACCTTGCCAAAGAAGATGTACACTTTAAATTTATATTTCCCCTTCGATGCATATTAGTTATACATGATTGAAAAGCATCCTATTTATCGACCTCACCCTTTCTCTTTACGGCTATTATTTGCTCGCCTGTACCGATACTATACATATGATGTGACAATCAAATGTACAGTTCTGTAATGCAAATGTAAGAATAATCGTTCTCGCATGTGTCTAGTGATATTTTATATTGAATATCAGCAAAAGAATTCAATAGTTATTGATATTTCAAGGAATCTTACTTTTGTATCTCATGGTAATGATTTCCAATGAATAAATATATATATATATATGTATACACATATATAGTAATACGGTTAAAATAAGATAGAGTGTGAAGGAGAGAGAGAAACAGACAAGAAGAAAAAAACGGAAGTGTGTTATGTCAGAGTATCTTCTACTAAGAAAATGGATAAAAATATGAGAAGAATATATGTATATCCTGATAAATAAATAACTTCATATCAACAATTATAATTCACAGAATATTATACTATAGTTACATACTTGAAAAAAGTATCATATAAGAAATAAATAACAAGACCCCTATCTTTTGATTGTCTTTTTAACGAAATGTAGATGTTAAAAACGAAGAACAACAAACTAGATATTGTTTGCTCTTTTGAAAGAAGAAAAAAAAAAGATCTGTATGAAAATATAATACATTATTTGAGGTCAAAAAAAGATTGAATTTCAGAATGAAACAGATGTTAGTTGTTATTTAAATAAGACTGAGCAATGTGTAACAGTTTTTCTTCTTTAACAAAGCATTTTCTTTTATCTTATACCACATGTTATTAATATATTTCTGTTTAAGAAATTTAATAGACGATGAATGTAAAGTATTCTGAATAAACATATATATTTTTTTCATCATCATCACATAATCCATGATAGACATTATAATCAGATGTAAATCTATTATGAAATCAAAGTAACGATTGAATAATATATGTATATATTTAACATATTTATCATTATCCTTGGAAAATAAAAACATTGAAACATATTTTATATATGCATAAACAATATTAGTAGAAATAATATATCAAAATCATAACTATTCATATTTTAATTTAGGATTAAAAAATGTCGAAGAAGTTTTCGAATGAAATAATAAAGTAGAAATTCATTTTATAATATTCTGTCTAGAATTATGAAGTTAAAAACAATACCTTAATCTTAAGATTAAATAGTTTAGTTAGTAGATTGAGATTAATATTTGTTTCGAATATCATATGATAAAGGTAGACATTGTAATTAACTTAATTGACTTTTTTGTTTTTGTCGAGGTATATTCAAATTGTCTTTTTGTTTCTTTCATTGGATAATCAATAGGCCAACTAACGGTATTGTTCAATAGATCCCATCCTATTTCATTAGATGTCGCGCTGATAGAATTAAATACTATATCATTTTATGAAAGTATCTATCACATTTGTTAGAACGCAACATCTTTTATATCATACATACATTCTATGTTTAAGAAAAGTCTAAATGTACTTGTTGATCTTGAGTATTGATTTACATTTTTTTTTATAATACTTATATTTCTACGATCGATTTTCTTACCAAACAAAACAATAAAACTTGATCTGAAGGACATGTACATTTTTATTATAACAAAAAAAATTTTTTTTTAAAAAAAGATTCAATTAAATCGATCACAATTAATTATATCAACATAGTGTGTGCGTGTATATATATAATATCTGTAGATTATATCAATAAACATGACATTCAAAATCATCTGTTTTCTGGTTATTACATTTTGTTCAACCTTATTATCCATACGTTAATATCGTAATAAAGTTATCTTAACTGTCATCTGTTTCCTGTTCACAAGAGAAAATATTATCATTTTTCTTTTTATGTAAATGTCAGCTCGATATATTGTCATAAGGGATTCTCAAATTGATGACAAAATCTGACATATTTTAAAGGTGATAAGCCAATGTCCTATAAATAGATAGATATTATTTAGACAAAACGAGAAAAACAGGATAATCGATTATTAACTAATAATGTATTTATTGTTAAATTCTAAAAAGAAAAATAATCATTTGAAAGTGTTTTGTTTATTTAGCACTTGAATCATCGTTTAACTTTAGTTTCATTACTCTTGTTTTGATTATTAAAACAAAACTTAGATAACGCTTATGTAAAACTGTGTCGATTAACTCACGATTGAGAATATCTTTATAAAAAGAAAAGAAATGTGTTAACGAAACAGAAAAAAGAAATTTATTAACAACACAATGACAAAATGAAAAAAAGAAAAGAAAACTATTATCATCACCGATTTGTTATAGGCATATGTTCATTCGCATCAATAATAACATTATCAATATGATTTCCTGTACTACGTCGATTATTTGTCCAATTATCAAATAAATGATAACCAGTACCTGATGGTTCCCAATCATCACTAGTTGATTCAAGGGAATAAGTAAATTGTCTTCGTCTTTGACGTTTTCGTTGAAAATAAACAAATGCAACAGCTATACTAACTGAACTAATAATTAATAAAAGTCCAAATATAATTATTGTTGTTACAATACCACCGCTAATAGTTCGTTTCATTTTTGGTAAAGTTAATCTTGGCATAGATTCTATTAATGAAAAGAATTCTTATATAAAAACAAAAGAATTGATTTTAGTTTCATACTTGAACAATTATGTTCATCTGCACCTTGTGGACATGAATAATAACCATCACAATGAAATATTTCATCTATGCACCATTGATCTTGATTACTTATTAAACATCGATATTGATTTGAGAGACATGGGCCTGTTAGAAAAACAATTTGTTAAATAGAAAAGATTTCTCAGAAATGGTTTAATTACTTTTTGAAATATTTGTTATTAAAATTTCAAATAATGGAATATTAAATTGACATAAACTAAATATAAGTGGTAATTCAATAATATTCGTACGAAAATATGTTCGATCAAATAATGAATAATTCATTAACTCAATTGATTGCATTTGTTTATTAAATATATGAAATGATGGAATTATTTGTGACATATTCATATTAATTATAAAATGTTCCGATGAACTGAATAAAGATGGTTTAATCAATGTGAAATTACAACATGATGAATAAGATAAAGAAGGTGTTGGTGTGAAAATGAGTGATAAAGGAGATGACATATTTATTGTTTGATTACAAAAAGACATAAATGGAGCTAAATTAAAATTCAATAAATATATATAATAAAAATAAATGATTATTTCCTTATTTTTACCATGTATTGAACTTGTATATATAGTTTGAATAAGTGCCAGCAATGACCAGCACCAGAGAAGAATTATTTTAGTATTTGTCATTATTTGAAGATTAAATATGTATTGTTCAGTCATTCAATCTTATGTTTGACGAGCTGAATAGCAAACAAAATTTCTTTTCTCATTCGGAGATGTATTGCAATGTATCTTGAATGCTGCTGCTTCTAGTTGATTGTCAAATCGGCTACGCATGTTTCTCTCTCTCTCTCTCTCATTCTTTTTCTCTTTCTCTTTTCTTCCGACCTAAAGCAACAAATATACACATCGGGCAGATTCTTTCTCTCGTCTTCTCTTCTTCTTTTTTCATTTCGATGACGATGATTCAGCTCTCGAAAATATGAGAGCGAGCAAAAGAGAAAAAGAGAGAGAGAATAACGGAGTACATTGTACGTGCTATGCTTTCACCTTCGATAGTTTCTATATTGTCGTTCTAACTTCATCACTAAACTAGTAGCATTAAGATGGAAAGAGCGAAAAAAAACAGAAAAGAAGAAAAAAAGGACGACTCCGTTCATAGAATAGAAAATGCTATTGACGAATCAATAGAATATATATATCAGATATAAAAACGAACGGAAAAAAGAAAATGAATTAGTCAAATACATATAGTAGAGTATGAAAATAAACTCTTGACAAATTGATGTATGCATACAAGATTAGATTGACCGGTGTAATCTAGTATATACTAGGTTGTTATATCAGATGTAATGAATAAGCTAAATTTCCCTATGGAAAGGGAAATCGTTGAATAAAGAAATCTTAATCTGTATTATGTAAAAAGAGAAGGAAATGTGTGAGAGTAGTTCAATTAATTTTCTTTCATAAATTATTTGTGAATCCTTTTCTCTTCACTTTCTTATTGATTATTCATAATAATGAAATAGTTTTTGTTTAATAAAAATTATTCTTTATCAAGATTTTGTTTTCTTTTTCATAGAACAAAAAGCAAAATGACTAAAATTATTGTAACTAATCGATTGTTTATGTTTAGACAATTTCATTTTTTGTTACATATACTTAAAATATTAAATAGGATGATTATAAATATTGAATGATTCTGATGAATTTATCATTAGGGAAAAGAATGAATGATTAGGAAATCGAACTCATTCTGTACTTGACATGCAAGAAAGCTCTTGACAATAATTATAAAGAAAATCTCTCTGAATGTATCATGTTATGTAAATGTCAATTTATATCACTTTGATAAGAACATATATCCTAAAAAATTAAACAAGTTTAAATTAATGTACCTTAGTATTTCTTATATATAACCTTTTACTTTATATTAGTCATATATTTTCTATTAAGTATTTAATCAAAAGGTCAAATCATATATATTTTTTATCATTAAAATACCTAAATATAGTATTTTGATACGCTTATTTGTTACACTATCTTATCAATTTTCGAAAACATTGATACATATATATATTAATAGATGAGAAAATTATATTTTATTAGTTTTTGTAGTCTAAGGTGATAATCTTTATCTGAAATTTATCATTTAAAAAAAAGTAGATTCTTATATTTTACTTGATTAGTAAAGATTTATTGTTATGCATTAATATTTTAAGGTATGCATGCTTTAAAAAAAAATATTATTTCAAGCATAATAGTCATAAAAAAAGATTTTCTTTATATTGAAACTCTTTCATCGAGCGTGTTATAATTATTCTTTTTCAAGAGAATTAAATTACTCTAAGTACTTTCTTACCTCGTATTTCAATGTATCTTAGTGTTTAATTTAACTAATTAATGCAAACAACTCATCAAAAAAAAAAGAAGAAATGAGAATAAAGACATTCGGTTATATATCTAACATGATTGTCATTCTTATTAATAACGAGAGTATCTATTTCATGATTGAATATGTATTTAATGTGAAGGTAACATGAATTAGTACTTTGTACTAAAGATATTTCATTTGATTTGAACTTTAAAATGTCTCATTTGTTACTATCGACATTATACTTTTGTTCTAATCTATATCGATTGAACTCATTGAATAAATAAAAGAGTAGTTATTCTATTTAAAATTTTTCGAAGTACTTCGTTCGTTGAATAATAATTAAAATTAACAATAGATTCAGTGATGAAAACAATGCATTAAATAGAAGATTATTGTGCTGCAACGTTGTATTTAATCGTTAAAAGACAATTGCCTTTTTTTTTATCAATTTTCATGCGCAATATATATTTTGTAGCTCTGCGTGATAATCCTTGATGATGACTGAAGTGAATGACTTTCTTTCATATGTAAAGAGTAGGTTCTTTTAGTACTCTTTTTTTCTCTATTATTATTCATTATAATACTCCCACATTGTTATGTGTATCGTAGGAGGAAGTTAGTGTATGTGTAAGGATTAGTACTATTCACAAATACTCTCAAGTACTATATAATCAATTGATTTACGATAGTATAATATAATATAATCATGATTGGCTCTTTTCAAACTAGTTTTATACTGATGTTAGCAGTGTTGTTTACTGTTATCAATACGAATGGTAAGTCCAACGATAGATATTATATTATTTTTTCTTGTATATATTCTTTAATCTAAATAGAAATTCAATGTCCTGTTAATGAAGAATATAATGAATGTGGTACTGCATGTCAAGAAAACTGTACGCATGTACCAGAAATCTGCACATATCAATGTGTTCAAGGATGTTTTTGTAAAAAGGGTTTTGTACGTCAAACTGATGATAAAAGCAAATGTGTCCCACAATCTCAATGTTCCTGTCCTATTAATGAATTTTTCAATCCATGTGGATCAGCATGTCCTGATACATGTACAGCTAGATCTCAATCATGTACTAAACAATGCATACCAGGTTGTTTTTGTAAAGATGGATATGTACGTTTAAATAATCAATCTGGTAGTTTATGTATTCAGGAATTAGAATGTAAAAATCAAACATGTCGAGATCCGAATGCAGAATATACTGAATGTGGTTCATCATGTCCACGAACATGTCATGATGAACGTAATCCAGTTCGAAAATTTCGAATATGTCCAGCAATCTGTCAAGCAGGATGCTTCTGTAAGAAAGGTTTCGTTCTTGGAAATAATGGTACATGTGTCAAACCTGAAACTTGTTGTCTTGCAATCAATGGTTTATATAAAACATGTGGTTCAACCTGCTCACAAACCTGTAAAAATAAGAATAATTTATTCTGTCATCTTCCATGTGCTTCTGGTTGCTTCTGTGCTACAGATAGCGTACGCAAAACTAATGAAATAAATAGTCCTTGTATTCTTAAAACAAAATGTTAAAAAAATTATTTTTTGATGAATACATTTTTCCTTCTGTTCTATCCATTAAACTGAGTGATGTGTTACTCTATGTATTAGATAAGATCTCTTCAGATTTTTCTTTAAATATTCATTGAGTACCATGTGTTAATTTATTTTACTAATTTTGTAGTAAGATGGAAATATTTTTTGTTTATCTGAATAAAAACCTATGCTTCCGATCAAAATTACATGTTTCAAACTGTTCAAACAATGTACTCTTTCAATAAATTCTTTAACCTTTTTATATATCAGTATTACATTGAATACATATCTGAAAAATTATCATGCTACTGCTATTCGAATTCATACACTATCTTACTATTATAAATAAAAAATATCATATAATAGTCACATAGACAATATCTTTATTTTCAGTAACTACATCAGAAGTTCTAGTTTCGACGAGTACCTAAATATGATTAGATATCATGATTTTCAAGGTAAAGAATGTGGAAGACTCAGCAAAACTTGATTCGTATATGTCGTATTATACTAATTAGAAGACTATAAATAGTTCGATTTATTTGTGTAAAACATGAGCATTTTATTCTTTATATTTTCATTGTATAGGAGAAGCATCGATGACTTCTTTTACTATTTCCAAGGCTTTTTGGATTTTACTTGCCATATGTTGTGCAGTATGTGTATTGATTGTCATAGCTGCAAAATTGTTTTGACTACGATTTCTTTATATTTGTCACAGAAAAGTGTTACACTTGCTTCATTAAATGGCGTGCATGTTATATTATTTTCTTTTCAGTTAAACAAGAAGAATTAATATAGTGAGTCTTCTTGTAGTTTACTAATATTTGACATATATTATTCATTCATCTATTAAACCAGTTAAAAGCAGTTTTTAGAATCAAAAACAAATTTTTATTAATACAGCTACTAAAATATACACATTCTATCGTGTATTATAGCTAACATTTATTCATATTATTGTTTTTATATTCGTCAATAAATGATAAATAAATCGAAGTTATGAGTAGCAAACTTTTTTTATCTATTAGTTCAGCTTGAAACACTCGAATAAATGCAATTCATAGTAATGACTAATGGTTTTCGATGTTACCGATTTCTCAACGAAGATTTACATCATTTTTAGTTGATAAAATCAGATAAATTTATCATTAATATCAGTGGTCGTCGATCTATAGAGATTTCTGAACAGTATGAAGCAATATTTATTGTAATGGATTTCTTCACCTATCATCTTACTCATGATAGTACTCGAAAATGTACTTGTACTCTATTCGAAGATATATTAAAATTAGCATAGTATCAATAGAAATGATAATATTAATAATTGAACTTTTAGATGAGAAAAACAAATTTGATAACGAAATAAAATCTATTGAACTACTTGTCTTCCAGTGATACAATATAGGAGACCGGTCATTTGTACATTTTTTTCTTTACTTCTTCTTCATTTTCTTTTCAAAAGCAATCAACCATATCCTTCATACGAAGAAAAAAAATCATGTCAATATATATACACATACATATACACTAATAGGTTCGTGGTGAAGTGTATAGGTCTCTAACATTTTACACTATAAACATTTATCGAAAACTTCATATTCATATCAAACATGGCATGGAGTGTTCGAACACGAAAATTAGCAGCTTTAATTATGGGTTATATTTGTATATCTGTATTTTTTTCATTAACAACTTATATTGTTTATGTATTTTATACAACTATTGCACCAAGTGTCTATCAAAGAAAAGAATATAATAAACTTATTTTTCATCTTATATTTGGTAATTGGTTAGGAATAAATATCTATTTTAATTATATTATGGCATGGTTAACATCACCTGGTTTAGCTAAAAATTATCAAGAATTAGCAGCTCAATATCCTACATGTAAAAAATGTGCAATGAATAAACCACCTCGAACTCATCATTGTAGTTGGTGTGATTTATGTGTATTAAAATTTGATCATCATTGTCCTTGTAAGAAATTTCAATTGATTTTTTCATCAAATTATTTTTCGTATAATTTAAACTAGGGCTCAATAATTGTGTTGGTTTTTATAATCATCGTTATTTCATTCAATTTTGTTGTTTTATGGCAACTGGATGTGTCTATGCTGGTATGTTCGGTTATCGTGAATATCAAATTGGTATACTAGGATCACAAGTGTAAATAATAATTTTATAATATTTTCTTTGCATATATAAATATATCTTCTTCTTTAGGTATCATTATACAGATTCAATTTTTAAACCATTTGATATTCTTGAAGCAATGGAAATATCTGGTTTTATTACATATTATATATTTATTGCTGCATTTACAATTGCTTTTCTTCTAATTGGTCTTATATTATGGCATGGACGTATGATAGGTCGTGGTGAAACATCACTTGAACGTGTACTTAATAATCACTATGCTGAACAATATTATGATCAAGGTTTTGTTTTTGTTAATCCATATGATTTTGGTTTTTTAGAAAATTGGAAACGATTTTTAAATGTTAAAACAATTGGACAATTTATTCGACGAATTCTTTTACCAAGTACACATAAACCAGAAGGTAATGGAATAACGTGGGATGGTTATAATGTGAATACTAATTTACAATTACATCGACATGATTCAAGACAAACAACACGACCGATTGCTTTTCCTCCTGGTATTCACCCTAATTTTCCTGGTGGTTACTCAACTAATAGATTTCGATCAACAATTGTACCACCATGGGAACAACAACCGAAACCAATTAAAATTTCAAATGGTTATCAACCGAAAACACCTTCAACAGAGAAAACTGAATCATTCAAAGATCAATAAAAAATATATATATTGTTCTTTGTTTTTTTGATTTTAGACAAATAAAAAAATATAAAAATGAATAAGAGTTTTTTCCTTCATATTGGCGGGTAAATTAAAATTGATTAACATTGTTAGATGTTCGATTTACTTCGTTATGTATGTGAATTTCTATTTGGTTCTTCACTAGCACTTTCACAAGAAAGTTTTGAATATCTTTCAACTAATCTTCATATAATTGTTATTCAAATTATTCAACAATCATTTTTAATTACTTTAAGATCAAAAAGAATTCGATTGTTAGGTGATGATTTACAATTAGTTCTTAAACATCGAGCTATTTCACCATTATTTGGTTATTGTTGTTCATCAACAACGAATAAAGATATATCGATTAAATTAAATGAAACTACAACAAAGTAATCGAATTAGTCTGTGAAAATTTGTTTTTTGTATTGAAAAAAATCGATCTATTTCAGTATTTCACGTCGAAATAAGCGTTTTCAATTAGAAAATATCTCAAAAAAATGTATTGTTACATGTGATGATATTATTGTTCATGTGGAATGGTTAGCTAGAGCTGGAGAACAGAAATGTGCTCAAATAAAATCATCATTCTTTGATAAATCATTATTAAATAATGAACAACAACTTTATTTATCATTTCTTCAATCAAAAACTTTTAATAAAGAAATTCAAAATTCTTTACGCTATGATCAAATTGCAATAAATTCAATTCTGTCATATCTTATTGAATGGTGTCGAAATAATATATGTGATTGTCTTCTACATAATTATCGATTAGATAAACGTCGTCAACTCTCTTATTATTTAACTATTATTGATTGTTTACTTGAAAATCCATCAATAACTATCAATTATTATTTACATATCTTATCACCAATAGTTATAAATTGTTTATTATATGAATTTGAGGTTAGAGAAAAAACAAATGAATTAAATATTTATCCGATATTTTTATATTTAAGAATGATAATTTAATGGATTTTGATGCTACGAATAAGGAATGTGTTGTTAATACTGATCATATATGGTTACTTCGTTTATTAGCTGCTCGAACATGTGTTAAAATCTTACAACGTTCAAATTTTCTTATCTATGATATATTTTATATCCGTATTATTTCTCGACTCGTTTATTCATTAACTAAAACAAATACTTCATCATCTATAATCTATGCTATTCTCTATTTATTTGAACAATTAGGTTGTTATGCTTCTCGTACATTTCTCTTGCCACATTTGTTAGATATTGATTCATCAAAAATAATTTCTTCAAAATCTATACAAAGAATACTTGAACGTATTGCTAGAATGATCGTTGAAATATAATATTTATTAATAGATAAATGCTATTCTAATTTTAAAATAAACAATAGAATTCACATAAATTTTTTGTCAACAAAAATAAAGTTCTACGAAAGATTTTCACTCTTTAGATAATCATCTAGGATAACAAATAAACTATAATAGAAAAATAACAATGTTCATTCTATGTTATATATTTCATTTTCATACTTCCGACTAGATGAATTATATCAAATAGAAAGTTTTTCCGTGAGGGATTAATGGAATCTAAAGAGGATCATATTTCACATCAATAATGAGATTCACTTAGCAAAACAGTTAAATATATTTTTATGCAACGTAATTATAAAAACAAAAACAAACAGTAAGAATATAAAGAGAACAAGAAGAAACAGAACAAATCACTGTTGTATCTATGGTTTACTTAATGATGACATAGAATGATATTGTCGATGTTTAGACATTGGTTTTAATCTTGAACTATTGGATTTTCGATTGTAAAATCCGTTTCCATATATAATCATAATTAATATCCGATAAAGTCGTGTTCGACATAAAATAATAAAAACACATAGAACACCAAATGAACCAAATAATGATGGTATAAATATTGGATTTTTCAAATTAAAAAATACTCGTGATAAATGTGATGATGATTCACTACTATCAATTATAATATTAGTATCTATATTATCATCTTCATTTGCCATTAAATGATTTTGATATCTCATTATATTACTAAAATATATATATAATAAATATTTTTGTTTTTTCGAAACAATCTATTTACTTTTGTGGAGATAAATTAATAACTAATGGTTCTGATGGTTTAGTTGGTGTATTAATAAAACATTGTGGTAATTTTCTTTGTTTAGTTGTATTGTCTAAATCATTTTTTTCGATAACACGAGAAAATTTATGTAAACGACTTGTGTTTAATCTTTCAAGTTCAGGCACAGGTAAATCCATTTGTTTATTTTCATCTAGTTGTAAAAATAATTTTGGTACACGACTTGATGTTGTAAATTCTAATAGCGCAAGTAATAACCAATAACAATCACGTACAAGATGAACAGAATCAATACAATTTGAATCACCATATATTGCAACACGACCACCACCAGATGATTCAACAAGACCAAGAATTGGCATTGAAACAGGACGAGGTTTTATTATTGATTCAATATCTATTTTATGTTTTTTACGATTTTCATGATTATCAAGATTTAAATGACGTTGTTGAGGCATATGTGGAGATATAGGCATTTGCATTATTGCTTCACCTTGATCATTTAATGGACGATAGATTAAATAACCATCAGCTGGAAATTGAACAATATGAGTGCCTAGAAATAAATATTTATAGTTTATTATTAACAAAGAGATAGATTGAAAAATTCATCGAAATATGTACAATACTATTTTCACTTGATTCTTTGCTATCCTGAGCGTTCTAACTTTAGATATTCCATAAATACTTCATACTTTATAGAGACTAAATCATATATTTTTCAGCTAGTACACTGAATAACGATCTACTCATGTATTTCAAAGAATATTTTTCAATGATCTTTCAGAAACGCCATTATTTCGCGTAGGATATTCAATGAATAATTTGTTTACCTGATGCATAGTAAATCATATGTTCACCAAGATCAAAATTTCCTTCAAGAATAGTATCACCTAAAGCAATACCAAGTGGTTTCAAGAGATTATTCAATGCTGGTAAATTAGCACCACCAGTTTCTGGTAACCACCTTTAAAATAACAATAGGAAAAAACAATATAGAAGAAAAAAATGTTTCACATCATACCATTGTCGGGTATTTTCATCATAAAATTGAACACGTTTCATAACAGATACATTATACCAATCAGCAAAAACAATAAGTGATAAGGATTTATTAACAACATCGTTATGTAATTTAGAAATCTCTTCAACAAAAAATTCTTCTTCTGGATCAACAATTAACAGTGTTCCTATATAATATTAAATGATAAGAATATATCTTAAAAAATAATACTAAATACCATAAAGTGAAGCATCAAAACATGTATATGGTTGTCCTAATACTTCAATAAAATATCCGGCATTTCTTAAATGTTCATAAACATGACGAAAATTTGTATGAATATGATCAGCATTCCAATCAAGAGGATCATTTTTTTGTTTTAAATCATCACGTGGAAAATAACCAGGTGGATAACCAATTGAATGATATTGATCCCAAAGTATACGATGAGAACGTATTGGTGTTGGAATTATGCGTACACGAACTGGTAAAATTAAATCACTTCGTTGAACAAAACTTTCAGAATCCTTTAATTTAAACAAACAGAAGAAAAATAATGAGATTATAGATGAATATAAAATATAATCAATTTTTATACTTTAGCTGGTGATTCAATAGTTAATGTAACATGACCTTGAACTATTCCTTCAAAATTAGAAGCATTCTGATGAATACTCATTGATATTGCAAGATACCCTGACCATGGCCATAATTTAGTTGAAAAATTAAATGATAATGCAAGATATTGCCCATATAAATCTTGTGGATGCCATTGAGGCTAAAGAAATAGAATTTTTTTTTGTATTAATTTTCTTTCATTACAAAAAATACTCTACCTGTCCAACAACTTCACCAACAACATCCATACCATTTAAAATTGTTACATTAACAATTATTGGTATAGCACTATGATAAAGTGGTTGTAAACAATATGGCCAAAAATATGGACATTCTGTAAAATCAATATATGACGGACTTAATCTAGAAAACCAATAGATTTAGTTTTTTATTGTCTGTAAAATTTTATATTATAACATACGATGCTTGTGGAACATATTGATTAAGAATACGAAATGCACGTAATAAATTTAATTTTCCATGTCCTTGTTCAAACATATTAGCATGTCGAATACGATGAGCAGATGCTAGCAAAGCTTGTTTTAACGCTGCTGGATTAATTATATTTGGTGTACGATGAAGTACAGAACTTGAAAATGAAAAAAAACATTTTAAAATATAATACACAAGAACTTTATATAAATATAAACCTTGCTAAAAGTGCCACAGCACCAGCAACAACAGGTGATGCAACACTTGTTCCTGATAAAACTTTGCAACCAGATACAAGATTTGAACCACGTACAAATGAACCATATGTAACTAAATCTGGTTTCATACGACCGTAACCAGCTGGAAGCTATTAATAAAAATAATCAAATTAATTAATAATCCTATTCTAAAAATAGATATTTTACCTCCCATGTTGTCATTCCTCGAGATGAAAAACGTGATATAGCATCATCTACTGTTATACTTCCAACTCCAATTACATCCATTTGATCAGCAGGATTATTCAACGTACTATAATAACAAAAAATTTCATTGTACAAATATATATCATAAGATAATTTACCCATATAGCGGTCCATCATTTCCAATTGCTGATACAAGAATAATACCATTCGAAGTTAAATCCCATACCTATATATATATATAGGATTTCAATTGAATTTTAATCAAAGCCTAGAATATACTTTATCAATAAACGGTTGATCCATAAAATCTGGCCCGCCAATACTTAAATTCAATACATGTACTTTCTTTATAATAGCGTAATTAAAAGCATCAAGAAACCAAGATGTATACGATATCTAAATAATCTTTCTAGTTTAATTAACAAAATAAGATTCTTAAGAAAATAAAATCATACATGATTATTTGTAAATACTTTAAATATATGTAATTGGGCTTCAGGAGCAATACCTAAACATTCTTTATTACTACCAATAACACCAGCAACAAATAATCCATGACCAATTGCTAAAAAACAAATGTTAGATTTTTAATTAATGCAATGAAAATAATATATATACATACTATCATGATCATTCTTTTCATCAGTCCAATTTGTTACTTCAGCAATATTAGGAAAATGTGGATGACCATCTTGAATACCCGTATCAAATACAGCTACATGAATTCCAGCACCTATATTATTACGAAATAAGAAATTAATTTGAAAATAATTTTATATATGTTAATGAATTAACCTCGATGACCCATTTTCCATAATTTTGGTGCTTGTAAACTTTCTGCTATTCGAATATGATTTGATGGACTACGATGTAATTTTCTTTTATTACCAGGTATTTCTTCATCTTCTTCAACTAGATAATTCGAAATAATTAATTAAATTTACAATAGAAAATAATACGAACTTGTTGAATATTGTATATAACGAAGAATTTGTCGATGAGGATTAATAGCTCGAATAACTGGGTGTTTTTTAAGTGCATTAATTATCTGTTCATCGTCAGAAAACTATATTTGAAAGAGAAAAAACATTTATTTAACATATTTTCAAATAAACATACTCGAACAATATCAAAATCAGATGGATAATGTTGTAATAAATTATTTCGTTGAATTATTTCATAAGATACATGATTACGTTCAAAGACTCGCGTTAAATAATTTGATCGGGTAATTGTATTATAATAACCAGTAAATTGAATAATAAATTCTTAAAAATAAAATATAGAAATATTTAAATTTATTTTATAAAATTAAAATTCTACCATCTTGTATCGGTTTCGTTTTATACTGTACGTTAATTTTTTGTTCATTTTGATCGGCTGTTATATTACATGGAAGTATTTCATCACTATTAATTGGTATTATTAAGAAAATAAGATAAAGAAATAAACTCTTGTTTAGAACATTGACCATCGTGGTCCATGCTGAATACAAAAGAAATAATTGCAAATGAATTTTTATTTCATTATCTAAAAATTAACTTAATTAGACACATATACATGTATAAATATACAAACAGAAAGAGAGAAAAGAAGAAAAAAAGAGACAAGAAATAAATAATTATTATTCATTTTGTATACATGTCAAGCAGATTGATGATTGGTTATTTCTAAATGAAAATCATAGATATATGTATTACAATAAATCATTTTTTTTTATAAAATTTGTTATACATATTTGTTGAACAATAAGGACAATATGTCTTATTACATTGTAAACATGGAGTTAGATGATTTGAACAATATTGTTTTTCACAATAATCACAAATTGATACAATTGGTATTGTACAGTGCATTGATGAACAACAGGAAATTATTGGAAGAGATTTTGTTTCTAATTAATAAACATATTTATTTGAATTAGTCTCAAAAAGATGTTCTGCTGCCTCGAAAATCGATTTTTCATCATGACCGTTGCCTCCTCAGACAAACCGCTATTCCCTCGTTCATTTTCTGGGTGCGCGACTATACTCGACAGCCTTTTCTTAAGTTCTGATGATAGAAAAATATGTATTTACCATTGCTTATAGTCGAATCTTTCAATTTTCGAAAGAAATTTTTTGACCCATCATATAATTTCTGTTGTGTTGTTTCTAATATGAATAAAAATGCGTTTTCTTTATTATAAATATCCTATGAAAGACAAAATTACATACGAAATATATTATTAAGATGATAAGTAGTCATCCGTTGTCGTTGTTTATTATCATGTTCATTATTATTATCTTCAGAAAATTTTCTCTTTATAGACATTATCTGAAAAAGGAAAAGAAAATAAATCTCGATTTAATATCTAATTAATTAATTAATTTAAAAATTTATTGTTAGTAAAAAGAAAAAAACATTAAGCAAAACAAAACAAATATATAATTGAATACAAATTATTATCTGTGTTAGTAGTACAAAAAGCGAAGAGCAATGATAAAAGTACATGAATGTATTGAATTATCGTTTATAAATCATATTTCACTTGTGCTGGAGATTTTAAATTAATATAAACGTCATTTTTCGATGAGCCAATAACTCGAATAGCCTAAAATATAATTATATTATATAGATAAAATTGTAAATTATTGAATCTCACCATATAGTTCAAAAGTGATTCTACACTGAGTTGCATCTTTCGTTTTAATTCAGCATAAGTATCTAAATTAATTTCAATTACAGATAAAGATATAAAGAAAATCTTTATTAATATTACCGGTTTCAAGTGTATATCGTGTTCGAACAGCTTGAGCTTCAGCATCTGCTCTATAAGAAAAATAATTCAATAGATATTTTATTAAAAACAATATGTATATAAAATATCTTACTGATTTAAAATAATATTACTATCGGTATCAGCTCGCTCTTTGATTATTTGTGCTTGTTTTAATGCTTTTTGATATTCAGTACGAGCTTGTGTTAATAATTTTGGTCGTTCATTTTCCGCAATCTATATAGATATTTTATTTTTCTTAGAAAAACTTCATTAAATAACTAACTTTGATATTTTCTTTAGCTGCTTCTTTATCTTTAACAGCTGTTTCAAAATCACCCGGTCGACGAACATTATTCACCTATACGAAATCATTTGTAAATATAAATTTATTAACGAAAATATATATATTACTTGTAAATCTCGAAGAATTGCATAAAATGGACTGAATGTACCTTTCATTTCCTAATCATATTTTTAAAAATTAGTTTTTCTTTTAATTAATTATTAAATTTGATTTACTTCGAGTAATTTCACTTGAAAATAACCTCTCATACTTTGAAATGCAGTTGTATTAAAACTAAAACATATTCATTTAAATTTTCGATATATTAAAATTATCAAACTCACTGTGCACATGTGTCATGAACAGCTGCACGTCCAGTTGCATAAAGAATTTTTTTATATCCTTCAAAATCTTTAAACTGTAAAACAATATCATATAAGTGTTTTGGATCAGCTTGAAATTGTAATGTAACATCAAGATTAATCGAAACACCATCATGATTAAGACACTAAACAAAAAAAAATCTTTCCATAATAAAATTTCATTAAAAATAAACCATACTGATATATCATCAAATTCCATTGAGGTAAATACACTTGGAAATATAATAAATTTAAAACCAGGTGCATTTAAATGTAAACCAGAAGCTTGAACATCTCGGCTTAGTTTCTTTGAAATCATATTATATGATATAGCAACTATAAGAAACAATTATATATAATTGATATTCAACAAAAATAAATTCACTACACACTTTGATCTGTATTAAGTCGGCCCATACTTGCAATTAAAAGCGATACAATAGTTATTAATGATAAAACAACACCAGCAAAAATTAAGATAACTGATGCACCTGCCATATTGATAAATAGAAAGTAAAAGTAAAGATACTTTCTAAAAAGAAAATTCAAGATATTTTATTCAATAGGAACAAAAAAATCTTGCAAATTGTATATTGACGACTAGCAAGTAAATAAAGAAGACAATGAATTACGAAAAAACGAACAAAGAAAAATTCCTGAATTAATTATTAAACACAAAAAGAGATTATATAAATGAGCAAAAATTGTCAATTGGAGTGTCTATGTAAATTACAGAAAGAAGAAAAAAAAAAAAAGGTATGAACATCTGACAAACGAAGTCATCTGATTCTATTCTATTTTTCGTCGAATATATATCTGACGGATATTATATACATATCAGACCTTTTTTGTTCTATTTTAAGGCTTAGGACAACTCTAAAATAAAATAAAATAAAAAATTTATATTTAAAGAAACGTTTTAAATATACTTGATCTCGTAAAACTTCCCATTCATTGTAAGCACGTTGATAATTTTCAAATTCTTTACACCAATCATTGTATTTTTCAATGTATTTTTCAGCTGTTAAACAGTTACATTCACCATTACCTGAAAGAAATTATTTTTATAAAATGATATATTCTCATCAAGTCGATACATGTTTGCGGCGTGCGCAATAAAAACAGCTCATATTTTTAAATGTCTATTCAACAAAATAGTACAATGCTCAGGAAAATGATAAGTAGCCCTAAGCAACATAATGCTAGGTGCAACACCATAGATTTGTATATTAATCCTTAATTTACAAATAATAGTTTTCCTTTAGGCGAAAAAAAACCTTGATGCCCGACTGAATCTCTTTTTCTTTTCAATGTTAGTTTAGAATTGATCTAATAATAATTCTAATGTATTCCAAATATAACTTACGTCTTGATAAGTTTGTTGTTACTGAATTAACATCTCCATATACAAATGCATCTAGCAGAGAAACAAAATAGGAAAATAAAATTATATATATTATGTTACCTCGATCTGTTTCAAGTGAATAGGAAATCATTGGTTGATTACCGACAAAACAAGTATATTGACCATTAAGTGAATTATTCATATTAATAATAATTAAATCTAGAATAGGTTGATTTTTTTATTAATTTAAATAACTGAATAATAGAGGGAAAAAACGATTTCTTACTATGTTCTTTTGTTAAAAGATAATTATTAAATAATGTATCTTGAATATTTCGACCATTCCAACGCCATTCAACAGATGAACGTAAATGTTCACTAACATCACATTGTAACCAAACAGTTTCACCTTTTTTTCGTGTTAATTCAAGTACTTTACCTATGAAAATATATTTTCGATTTTATATAAAGAAAATTTTCAAAAAAAAACTTACTTGGGCGTTGAACTGATTTTTTACACCAAGATTCTGGTTGTAAACGAGCAATAGCTACTTTTACATTACTAAAACAAAATAAATAAAATTATTGAAAACACTTCATTTCTATTTACTTCTCATCAACATTTAAACATCGATTTTGTTGAATATCATAATGACATAATGGATCACGTTCACATTCTGTACAAAGTATATATCGATTACATTGATTAACTGAAAATTGATAAACTGCTGCATCTGTTGATACATATAATTGTTTTGTATCCTGAGAATAAAACAAAAAAGAATTTAATACACAAAAAATATATTAAGAATATAAATTTACTTGAGCAAGAATCATATTTCTAACAGGTGATTTTTCATTCGTATTTTCATCTAATATCCATGATGTTAATAAAACAAATTTCTCTCCTTTTTTCTTTTGAACTAATTTTAATATTTGTCCATCTTGTGTACCAGCATAAACTAATGTTATTTGATTATCATTATTATAATTAATATAATCTGTTACAAGACGAGTTATAATTGTATCTGATATTTGAAAAGCAATTTCCATTGGTGGTGAAGAAAATATATTTCCATTCATAAGTACATGTGAACGAAGAAAACTTAATACTGTATCAGATAAACTTCCATTTGATTCACACTAGAATAAATTAATTTGAAAAAAACTATGGAAAAAAATAAATAATAATCTTACATTTTTCGATACACCATCAGGAACATGATCACGAGGTAATTCTCTCCATACACTAGTTGAATCAGCTTCTTTAAAATTTCCATCAAGAATAGAATCAATATCTCGTCGTGAATATTCACAAATAATTGATGTTGTTAAATCACCACTATATATATAGGGAGAGAGAGAAATATGATCAAGATTGACACACATATCTTTTTCAACACTTACGGTGCACTGGTAAATGAAACAACAAAACGATCATCATGAAGTTTTGTTACAGCACCTATATAAAAATTTGTGTTTTTTTATTTAATATAAAAATTAATTTCATCTTACTTATATCATTAAATACAAAAGGTGAATCATTTGTACCACTTAAACAAGTTATTCTTGCTTTACGAAATGTTGTCCATGTATTAGCCATAATTGTTGCTGTATCAGCATCATTCTAAGAATGCAAATTAAGTTTTAAAATTCTTATTTATTCAATCATATTTTACTTTGCATAGACGACCAACACGCGAGTAAATTCTTGGAAATATATCACGTTGTTCTTCAGCTTTTTCTCGAAAGAAAAAATATATATTTGAACCAACGTCAAATGAAGCAATAAATTCCGGTGCTAAATGAATATTAAAAGAAAACAAAATCGTTATTTATTCCCGAAAAATTATTGAATACTTACCACTCAACCAATCAGTATCATATTGAGGTGTTCGTAAAAACTTAATAGTTCCATCATCAGATGGTGGTCGATAAATAATTGGTTCAGTTTTTGTATAATCAATAACAGCACCCGTATAAAAAAATCCATAATTTTCCGGATTACCTTCATCTAATTCGAAAGAAAAAAATTTCTATACTAAAATCAAAACAAAAATATCATACCTGTCCAAAGAGCAGTATTATTATGTCGTGGATCTCGTGAACAATAACCAAAACCTTCTTTACTTCCTTGTTTTTCAGTTAAATCAGGCTAAAAGAAAATTTAATATTGCAAAAAAACAAATCTTTAAATAATATTAGTTACATTAAAGTAATAGATTTTTGGTGAAAATGCATTTGTTGAACATACAAATATATCATTGTATTTTTTCTTACGTCGTAATAATACTCGAACATGATTTTCACAATCAAAAGCCTTTTAGAAAAAAAACGATCAAAAATATTTTATATTTTTCTTTTCGATTATAATTCATACTTGATTTAACGAATGGGATAAACATTTTTGTACTTCATCTCGTTTCGATGGTATATCAATTGATTTGTAAATCTATTTGAAAAAATAATTTATTTGATTAATTTTAAAATAAAAACTTACTGAGCTTGTTCGATCTTCGATATTATCTCGATTTAATCGAAGAATTACATTTCTATTATAAAATGAAAATTTTCATTTATAAAATTTTTTTATGATGAATAAATAAACTTACTGTCCACCAACATAAAGACTATCATCATCAAGTAATAAATTCCAATAATAGTTTAAACCTGATGAATATTTACGAATAGCTAAATAATCAATCAAATAGAATCAATACATAATGTTAATATGAATTCAAAATACTTACAATTTGGTACATATTTCGAATAAGGGATAGTTGGTAATGACGAACTACCAACACATATAATACCAAACAGGAATATAATTAAATTAGTTGTCATATCTAAAACTACTATCTTTAATGAAAACAAATTGATAGATTATAATAATAGTCTACAATATGTTTATAAAATTCATATTTTAATACTCAAAGTAAAGGATACATAGGTATTATGAATATATTACATACTTTTGTTATTTATAATTACAAATTTTATAAGCATAGGAGGTGTTTGTCTGGACAAATTTCTATAGTAAAGGGTGCGTCTCGTATTGATAAAATATCCACTTCAATTTATTTTCTTTATCAACAGTTGATAGAAATGAAACTATTTTTTATATCATAAATATTCATAGCATCTGTTTCTTGAATGATACAATAATTCATAAAAGAAGATAGCATATGATAATATACTGTCATCAAAAGAATGTATGAATATGTTGATAGTGTTACATAACATTCAAGTGTGAAAATATGATTACTTCTCATCAATAAAAGGAATGGAATAATATCAATGACAAACTAGACAACTAAATAATTCCTTTTCCTCACTTAACATCCTTATTTTCTATAGTGTTAGTCATATAATAAATAGTATTCTCTACTACTCAAAAAAAAAAAAATACTTAAAATTATTCATTACTTACGATAAAAATTTTATAAAGAATTAAGACAAGGGTAATAAATGATAACATAAATACTAATGCTAGTCTCAATCAATATAAAATATATATTATAATATAAATTATAAATCACTATGCTTTCACTAGATGTCAAAATAATTTTATATATATCTAACGAAGATATAATAGGTGTGTTTTGTATTAATCATGTGTTTTTTACAAACTTTATAAGACGGAATTGTGTGTGAAAAAAAAACCACCACTAGGTCACACAATGACAGACAGCTAATGGGAGTGTGTTTATAAAAAAAATCTGACATTTTGTAGTTAAGTTACTCAAAAGAGTGCGTATCTTTCGATTAGAAAAAATAACGATATATTCGATATCACAGTACATAGAATAGGTAAATTGAATATTTTAATTCTAAACATGTGACGATGACCGTCTACTTTTCTCTCTCTCTCTCTTTCTATTTTTTACTGATGCCGTGTTTGAAGGACTAATAATAACTTATAATTATTTAGATGACTATTAGCGACATCAGGTCAAATTATTTATAATAAAAAATATTTATAAATACATGATTTTATTAATGAATAAAATGAAATTATGTTGAAACATTATGTAAACAATAATTTTAATAGATTTGACTTCAACTAAATACTAATGCCCTCTGTCAAAGAACCTTGACATATTCGGATTGTACATTAGACCAACAACTAAAAGAACAAGACGTTTAATAAATACATTTATTTACTTTTTTTTTCTTTATCTTTATTCCTCAGTTATTAATAGTACACATATTCATGATAATATGTATGATTCGTCATTATTCTATTTTTTTTATTAATTATTTTATTGACGCATAAAATGTCTATACATGATATATTCTAGAAGTATTCAAATTAATTTTGTTTTATTTCTCTATCGTTTTGGTTACATAAAATTGTGAACGGATCATCAATAATGATGTCCGTTATATCACTACTTATCCCGTGTCTTCTTTTATCAATTATTCAAATAACTTTTGCTGATATCTATGTGGTATGATAAAAACAAAACAACAAAATAGATAAATTAATTTCATTTTTTTTTACTAGTACAATAGTGCAAATAAACTTGTTGAAGATTATGATGATCAAGCTGCAAGTTTCGGTCCACCATTTACATCAGAAGGAATAAAAGTAATATTTTTTGTTTCTTTTATTGTCATTAATGTTTATATTATTTTATTTTTAAAGGGTTATGTTGCCTTGACAAATCCAAAAAATGCTTGTACTAAAGTAGCACCACCACCAACTCTTTCAATGCCTGGATATCAATGGATAGCACTTATTCCTCGTACTAATTCAGTTGATGTGTGTGATTTTGATCTTAAAGTAAATTTTTGTTTTTGAATCATCTTTCAAACACTTTTCTATTTTTAAGGTACTAAATGCTCAAGAAGCTAATTATAGTGCTGTTATTATTTATAATTATGAAGATGCACTTATAGCAATGGGTCCACATGGAAGAAGTAAATAGAAAATAATTGATAAATTCATATTTAATATTTTATTTTATTAAATTAAGATATAAAAATTCCATCAACATTAATAACTCATTCCGATGGTTTATCGATTGTATCAAATTATCTATATAATAAAACAACAGTTAAATCAGTTCCTCAGTAAATATATACAGAATTTATTTTTATGGAATCTCATAATACTTTTTTTCTCCGTATATAATAGATTTCATATTAGAATTACTGGTGAACAATTATTTAATTTTCGCGCCTATTTAATACCATTTCTTTGTATTATTGGTGTATCATTTCTTGGTCTTATTAGTTTTACGGTACAAACTTATAAATACAATTTAAAATTTTTCATTTGAATTTAATTTTTAGTTGGTAAAATGTTATTTACATCGACGTCGTACACGTCGTCATCGTTTACCACGTTCAGCTCTTAAGCAATTGAAGATAAAAAAATTTGTCAAAGGTGATCGTTGGGAAGTTTGTGCTATTTGCTTAGATGATTATGAAGATGGCGCAAAATTACGTATACTACCTTGTGATCATGGTTAATTTCCCAAATTATACTACTATGTATTCATTTTTGATTGTTTTCTTTTAGCATACCATATGAAATGTATTGATCCTTGGCTATTAAATAATCGACGTCAATGTCCTGTATGCAAACGTTATGTATTTCCAAGTCATGATAATTCCGATGAAGAAAGTAGTGTTCATGCAACAACAGAACGAACACCATTAATACGACCATCTGAAGATAATATAATACCTGATGCTTCACGAAATCGTCAATTAGGTAAATATATATATATATTATCAATTAAATCAATATTATACTTTAAATAATAGCTTTCTATTTGTCAATTTAATACTTCTATAATATGAATTGACTTTTTTCTTCCTGTATCAATTATTTTATAGAGAGAAAAAAAACGAAAAAAAAAATTTCAGATGATTAATAAATAAAACTTTTATATTTCTGTCTACGTTCATATTTATGTTACGCTAAATAAATATTTTAATTTTAGGACGTCGAACCATTAATTATTCAGATGTTGATTCTTCTAATTTTATTGATGATACCAATAATGACACATCAGATACTGATGATGAAGCTAATATATCAGCATTACCAAGACAGTCTACTTCAAATCGTATAACAACAAATGATCTTGTTTTTGATGAACCACAACTAACTGCTCAACATTATTCTCATTCACAATTACCACGTATTATTTTACGTGAATCAAGTTCTGAAGGCAAAGATATGAATAATACAACAACAACAACATCATATGGAAGTTTTCATGATTCACCATTGGGCTCATTTATAACACCACGTGCTGCTAATTTTTTTGTTGGTTCACTAGGTGGTACAACTGATAATACAAATATTTCGGCACGTTCTGTTATTGAAGATGTTAGCGACATTGAAACAGACAATAATGATGAACGAATGTATTCAGTATTAACTGATACCGAAATAAATCATGCTTATGTTTCTGATGAGGCAGCAACAGATGTAATTCGAACAAACTTGTAAAATTTTCTTTTTATGTTTATTTTCTCGGCTTGTCTTTCCATGTATTCAACAGTATCTGTTTTTTTTCTCTTCTTTTTCTAATCGAGTCAATAAGCGTCTCAATTTATGTTCATACAACATATACATTTAAGCTTCGATGTAAACAATAAATCGATGCTATATTGCTGTATTCATTTTTTTTTTGCTGTACTTTTTTTGTAATTTTTTTTTGAGTGATTCTATACTAACGAGACCAAATTTATGAACGTGAAAAATTATTCATGAATACTTAGTTTTTGATCAATCTATTTCACAGTTCAAATAATATCTTAACTGATAATATTAATATATATATGTATATATTTAAGTTGATCATGAAATACTGTGAATATTGAATGGATACAATAATAAATAATTGAAGCAGATACGATTTCAAATGAAATTTCTTCTCGATCAATAGTTTTAGTTGTCTGTTTTGTAAACAACATATAAAGTGGAGAAAAAAGAGAAACAAGTATAATCTTTGTTATTTTTCTGTCACAGTGGTCGTCGTCGATGTAGATATATACATGCTGGACGGCAACAAGTATCATCATCGAGGCACATATATACATCTATATTCATTGTTTATATCGCCGACGCATCACTCTCTTACTCCCAATGATATCATTTCATTTTTTCTTCTTCTTATTCTCTCTATATTTCGTTCGTCCGTCCGTCTATGACGATCTATAAAAAGGCAAAGTTATACATTTATCATTCCATTTATTTAGTTAACGTCGACCTGGTAAGAATGAGTGTAAATATCATGGTAGTAGGGAAAATACTTTTTCGGACGCAATCACCGGTTATCAGGAACGCTTTGATACATGACTCGGCGTGTCTGGTGACCGGTGAGAACTGTTTGAAAATCGTTTGTCATCGATTACTTCTTTGTGCACTTTCACTGTTCGATGTGCCTCCCTTGGGTAATCGACAAAACTAGGGAGATACAGGGACGGTGCAAATGCGCGTAAGAAGATGATTTTTTTTTATTTATAAATTTTAATAATGTGTATCAGTTACTGTTCTGCTTGTGCCACGCTACGCGAATCGAATGTGAGCGAAGTACAGCAGCCAGTAAATGATGCCATTAATAATCTACATTATTTTTAATAGAATCGAAATTTAATTGTTGTTAATTAGACAACTGTTCAGTTATACCTCGCTCGGATATATGTAGGAGCGAAGCATTATTGGACGGTAGCCAAATTAACAAATACTCTTCTTTAAAAAATAATAATAATATCAATGAAATGTTCGGATATTCAATTCACTGTATTTCCTACCTCGCTTGAGGTACTGGAACAGCGAGCGTAGGCGATGGCAGTGGCCTGAAAATTAACTGACAATACGCATTGATTTCTTATTATTTTTATTTTATTATTATTAGTTTTTCCTATCTTTTAGTAAATGGTGTTGATTTTGTTTAGAATTTTTTTTACATGAATTACGTTTTGCTTTTGATATTTAGATTTATGATATAGTAGTAGATTATAGTCTTTTGAGTGACGTTTGATTTTTATTTACTATAATAAACACGTTTTGAAAAGATATGTATGACTAATAAAATTTTAATCGTTGAAACAAACAATCAGAAGACTATAGATATTCAATATATTTATAATGCTACAGTAGAAACAATAATAAAAAAATTACATATACTTTATCATTAAGAGCAATTGAAAATATCAAATATTTTTCAAAATTGAAATAAGTTAGACTTAAAAGAAAAATTATCTAGGGTACGAAAGAATATTCGATATGTATTATATAATGAATTGGATTGCTTTTTGTCATTCATATAAATTGTACATGGAAGAAATATATTTCAAAATCAATAGAAGACATATATGTACTATTCAAAAATGGTATACACGATCGAAAATATTTAATCGAATGAGAATGTTAATATATCATAGATAAAAAATGAAATGAAAAGTAGAAATAATCTTATAGAATCCGGTAGATACTACATACTGATACAAATGAATGATCCATATCGTTGTTCATTTGAGAATAAAAATCAATAAATATAAATTTGTAAAAAAAAAAAGAAAAAGTACAAGAGAAAAAAGTCAATAATATACATCAAGCATAGTATTACTATTGCTAATTACATCGATCGAATGAGTTCTATAATCTCGTGATATACCTGGTGTAGATCGATTTGAATATTGTGAATTTTTTAACAATACTCCATTGGAAGCACGTAAAATAAACTCATTTGTATCGAGAGTTTGTAATTGTGTTGATTGTTTTTTATTTGAATTCGATGGTGTTGGTAGTTGTCCAGGTCGTTTTTGTTGATTTTCCTGCTGATGTATATTTGCTGATGATTTATGATTAGAATTGATAACATAAAGAGGATGTTGTAACGGTGCTGCTGAAGTCATTCTTCGTTCTATTGGTGGACTTAGATTTCGATGAACAGGTACTTGAAGTATTGGACTATGACGTGTTAATAAATTTGGTTGTGAACCGATCATTACTGGTGATGTAGATGTCCAAAGTGGATTTGTTGAAATAGGTGCACCACTTCTATTAACAAGACGATTTTCATAACGAGGACTGAGATGCATTCTAGGTTTTGGATCGTAACGTAGATTTGTTTCGGAACGAGTTCGATGTCCATTTGGCATTTGTGGATGTTGATGATAATGAGTATTATTATAATAATTATCTAAATCATTTTTCGGTGATAAATTCTGATGAGGTAAGTCATTTTGTAATTCATAATTATTGTTACGAGTAAAAATTTTTCTATAGAAAATAAAATGTAGAATAAAAAGAAAATATAAAAAAAAAATACATACTTAGTAATAGCTGTAATTTGTGGTGGTCGAAAACGAAAAATTGGTGGTTTGTCTTGTTGTTCTGTTTCAATAGGTTCTATATTACCTTCATTATCAGTTGTTATTGAACCTGTTTCATCTTTAAGAAAGTCAAAAGCTAAACTAACAGCTTCGACCTATAATGAAATTCAAAAAAAAAAAGGAAAAATTAAGTTGATTTTGAATTTTTAGAAAGATCATTGAAGAAAGTCTATACCGCATCAATAGTTGTATCACTTCTCTGTGTTGAAAAACGTGGTCTACCATTATTTCCAAGAATATCATGACTTGAGTTTGATTTTCTTGATTCATCTGTATTAGATTTATTAACTGATGAGAGATGATTTGTAGATATTTGATGTCGTGTTCGATGATTATCAGGATCAATTGGTGTATAACCGATAATTGTTGGCTAAAATATAAATTAAATGCAATAAGTATGACAATTGTTTAATGATATTCTGTATAAAAAAATTTTATGTAAATATAAATCTCAATCACCTTTGATCTAGAATATAAACCATAACGAGAACGTAGCTTAGCAGTTAAATTAGTAGTAAAATTTGATGGTATTAAGTTGTCATATTTAAAACGAACCATTATATCATTTAACTCGAACAATACGTGTAAAAATGTTCATCGACTATTCTTTTCACTCAGACAGAGTAAAGAATAAAAAGAAATGCATGCAAATCTCCTTATCCATGAATGATGCGACTAAAGCGTTGTAGTTGAATAGAAAGTGAGCAAGTATGTGTTTGTCCAACGGAAGATGGTGATTAAGAGACGATGTCGGTAGTAACCTCAGATCAAGAAAAAGAATAAAGGTAGTCGCTCACTAAATTAACATTCTTTCATTTTTCTTTATATATATATATATATACTATCGCCAACAAGGCTCTTTTTCTCTTAAATAAAATTCTCTGTTCAATACATTTAATGAGTTATTGATCGGTCAAAGAAAGTAAGGTAACCTTCAATGTAAAATAAGAATGAATGAGCACATTGTGCAATGAGAGTATATATACATATACTAAATTATGCATTGAAAAAGAAAAATGGTGCTTATTTTAAATACCTCTCTACTTTTCCATGCTTGAGCTCGTTGAATATTTCCATGACCAGCATGTACTGTATCATAATCTTTTGGCGGAAATAATAGTGGTTCTTGAGAATCAATTTTCTTTTGTAATTCTTCTGTAATTGATTTAACTGGATCAATTTTATCTAATCGACTATTACTACTTGTTGATGAAGATGAAATACCTGTATTTGTTTTATTTGATTCTAAAGTTGTTGTATTTGGTGATTGTGATTGTTTTTTTGAAATATTATTATGATCAGAATTAAGTAATTTATGAAGAACTAATTTCTGTTCAAGTTGTTGAATTTCTGAACGACGACTTTCGGTAATTATATAAGCACGAAGACGAATTAATAATTTATGAGCAGCACGTGATGAATCACATCGATATACATGTACAAATGCTGGATAATGACGACCAGTTAGTGGTGATATATAGACAACACCTAGTTCGAAACGAAAAAAAAAGAAAAATTGTAACATTGATTTTATTTTTGTTAATTAACATACCAATAGTATCATTTAAAGAAGATTTTCCATTAATCGAACCAGCAATCATATGTGCTGGTACATATGTAGAATAGTTTTGTTCATCATCATAAATAATTTTAACACCATCTTTCGCTACAGATAATCTTGTTTTGATAAATTCTTGTTTAGATTTCATTTGTCGAATAAAATTAATTGCATCTCGTATTGATGATTCATTTAAAAGTAACGTCGCTGCTGTACAACCACAATAATCAACATCAAATGATTTTGATTTTGGAAACTTATGTAAAGCCATTGGACAAATCTAGAAATATGTATATATATTTATGAATGATACATGAATGAAAGATTGTTCATAGACAATCGAGAGTAGTCAATAAAATAAAGAAGAAACTAATGAACAAGTTGTACTAGAATAGATTGGACCTTGAGACAATAGCCATGTCGACAATGTATTATTGACTTTGGAGAACGTGACTATTATCTTGTTTACGATAAAGAGAAAGAGAACAATAAATCTGACCTATTAATTGGGACAAATCAATACGTCTATCTATCGCCTTGAATAGTTCCGTTTTCTAAGCTCTCACCATCACTGTCATAGCCTTTCTTTCTTTTTCTTCTTCTTCTTCTTCTTCTTTTCGTTCTGAACAATTAAAACGGTTCTTTTTCAATTCTCTTATTCTCACTCTAGAATGTCAGTTAGTTGACTTCATCTACTTCTCATAATATGACATGCGCACTTTAATTAATTGGTAACTATTTTAATCATGTCATTCTCAACAAGCATAGATGAATGTTAGTCTGTCATATCTTATTACCTTCACACTAAGAAGTAAATTTCAAGAAAAAAAGAAGATATGAATAATAGTGTTATTTAGTCATATAAGTATAAATAATGAAAATACTAACAACAAGAAAGAAAACGATATAGTTAATATAAGTATATGAATAAAATATTATTTTATTCTCTATAGTTCGTAATTTCATACTATAATTACTAATCAGGTAATTGAGAAGAAAGAAAAAGATTATATAAAATGAAATTTATCCATTGCTTCTTTTTTTTTCTTTCTCAGTCTCAAAATAGTATATGTGTAGGTGTTTGTAGATTCAAAAAAAACAATACTATATAATATTTCGTTTTCCTTCTTCTTCTTCTTTTTCTTTTCTACTTCAACTATTACCTTCATCATCATCATCATATAGATTTTTGATTATTTATGCACGTCTTAAAAACAATGTTCCTGCCAATATGACATTCGATTATATACATAAAATGTCAGTTGAATATAGAAAAAAAAGGCAGACAGTAATTGTACATGAATTATAGGCAGTGAGATTTTTAAGGTCATTTAATTTTATAAAAAGAAAATAATATGTAAATGTTATTAAATATGAAGATGAATAATAATTGTACTAAACATAGAATGATAGATCTTCGTATCTATTTTTATCGATACCAACTATCAATATAGTAAAAAAAATATATTTAATACTGAATGAAAACGCGACATGTATTAACGTAAAAAACATACTATTTATACATAAAAAATAGATAATAAATGATATTGATAAACAAAAAAGGAAGTATGATTACGTAAAAAATTATTTTTTCTTCTATATGTATATGTCTTTCGTCTTATGTTCTCAATTGATTTGTTTTCAATTACATTTTCAAATATTACTTTTATAGTAAAATCGATTTGCAATTTAATTAAAACTTCTAACTTACAAAAACATATATTTATCAAACAATAAATATTTTTTATTACCTTTTGCATTCGACTTAAATACATAATATATTTACATCTTACTTTTTCATATGTATTTGTCAATTAGTAGGAATTTTATGATAGAATGAAAGATGGTAGTAGTTCTTACCATTTCTTTTGTAGAAAGACAGCGACGATACAACCAATGTCTTATCAAATATCTGATATTGTGCTTTTAGAAGACAGTCATCCTACGTTTTTATCTTCAAGTCATCAACACTTTTTTTTCCATTCTTTTGTATTCGCACATTTTTCAATATAAAAAAACTCGTTTTTTCATCTTTTTTTATTATGAATGTTGAATTTTTACAGTCAAAAAATTTCCTTTGTACAAAATAATATAATAGATTTGAAGGATATAAATAAACATTTTGTAAAAGCCTTCAGCTATTCTCGACTTTGACAATTTTACAGAACAAGTATTTAAAAAATGACATCGATGAATAATAACTAATTCTATCACGAAAATAATGTTTAACATGACCTTTTCATATCAAAATGATAGATAAAGCGGGATAAATGTATCTTGTAAAGTCTCACTATTAATAATTTACACAATACTCTCAATTGTTTCACAGATATATTAAAATTTTAAATTAAATCAAAACCGCCGTAACTTCAGAGTGAATTGATACAAAATGCTTTTGTTTCTGACGGGATTTTTTTTCAATATTTATATACTATATCAACAAAAAGATAAGTTGTATATTGTATATAATATCAAAACAAAGATAGGATCAGAAAAGAAAAAGGTTGAGTATATAAAGATAGAAAATAGGAAAGAGTTGAAGCTGAGCCTATAGCACAGGAGTTTACAAAATGGAATAGACTAGATAAAAAAAGTTATGAAAATATGTATAGGTATATAGTACAATATTATTGCACAAAATTAATCGCTGAATTTTATGTGAAGAAAAAAAAATTATATATAAACTTTTGTTATTCAGTTATGTACAAGTTAGGATCATCGATATGGAATTATATATCAATGTTATGTTTGATTGTAATGTTTACAAGATTTGGAATAGCATCGATTTTCTTGTATTTTTGTTCTTGTAAACGATATATATCCATTTTATTATAATAACAAAAGATGATATTATAAAATACACAAAAAAAGCAATTGTTATTGATCTACATATAGATAATCAAAATTGAGATCCATACATGTATTCACGGTAAAGAAGCCTGCGAGAATCTCATATGCATTGAGTTGATTTATGATTATTCAACAAATCCCTTGTAGTTATAAAGATAAGAATAGAGATAAATGAGAAAGATAATACTTAATCGACAAAATACTCTCTGCCAAATTTAATATCGCTCTAAATTTTAGAGATAGATGTGAATATTATGAAAAGTATAGATGTATAAAAGATTAGATTTCATTTTATATCATTATATTTATATTGATAAAGATATATATATATATTTATTTATTGATTTAAAGTCAAAAAAAGAAAGAAAGAATGAGAAATTATCCCAGAACTAAATTCTAATTGATTTCTTGATTTGATAAAGGGATAGTATTAGAAATGAAAATGCTGCAGATATACATATACACACAGGAAAAATAGTAAAGAAATAAGCCTGAGTATAAAGAATTAGAGTGTACAAAACAAACAAAATAAGACGCAAAAAAAAAAGAAAAATGAAATTGCACATTAAACAAAATTAACAAATAGACAAAATTCATTCTTGTTGATCCGGTGGTTTACGAAAAAATTTTAGTTTATCTCGAAATGACATTGTTTCTGTTGTAACACCACTCGCATCATTATTAAGATTTTCTTTATTAATACCATTGACATGACCATTTTGTTGTTGAAAACGTTTCGTACGAAAACGTGGATCTAAATAAACTTCTTGAGCACCAATAACAGATGGTGTATATTGATTTGATGTATCATCATTTGTAAAGAAATCATCACGACGTGTTAATTCAGCAGTTATACGTTCAACAGCGTGAAGTGATGATACAGGTATTGCAACAATACTTGATGTTGGTGATCCTTCATGTGTTAGAGTAGGTGGAGGAGGTAGTGGTGGACTTATTAATTGATGATCACTAAAGTTGAATATTTTATCAATGTAATTTTTAAAAGAAATATTTACTTTGTTACTCGTTGCATCAATGATTGTTTAATATTATTAGCTACAGAAAATGATATATCTCTTGCTGGTGGTGGAGGTGGAATAGGTGGTGAAAATTGATTTTCAAAACTATCCTTTGTAATTGGAATATTACCAATTGATGATGAATGTTTTATTGTTTCATTTGGTACTGGTGGTGAATCAGGTAAACGCTAAAAACAAATAATAATAATAATAAGATTGTATTTTTTCGACAAAAAGATATTCTTACAACATGCTTTGATAAACGTGCTTGCTCTTTTTTAGCTTCAACTGATCGATCTTCTTCTGACATTCGACGAATTTTTAAATCATGCATTTCTCGATTATCTCGATCCTAATAAATCCGAAATTTGCTAGAGAAAGAATTTCTTTTAAATACATACCCGATCTTTACGTAAACGTGCTTCAATATCAGCCTCACGTTTTGCTTGCATACGATTTGCATGTACTCGTTCAACTTGTCGATCATGTTCGTACTGTTCCAATCGACGTTTTAATCTAAAAAAGTTTTTATATAAATTAAAAGAAATTCAAATCAATCTTTACATACTTTTCATCAAACTCATTCATATCATCATTTTGATTTTGTGATGGTGATACAGTTGAAATCTATTAGATATAAAAAAAAATTATTATGAATTGTTTTCTTTTTTTAGTTTTATTTATTTTATTTACAGGAATAATATTCATACGTTCTTCTTCAATATCATTTCCATTTGATTGAAAATTAAATTCTTCAACACGTCGATCAAATTCATGTTCCAATTTTAAATTACTTTAGAAACAAAAATCGTTTTTTTATTAAGAAAAGTATTCCATAAATTTAACATACTCTAACTCTTTTTCTTCATGATCTGTACGTTCATTTCGATTTAATAAATCACTTATACGTTTTAAACGTGATTCACTTATATTATTTTGACGAGAATTTATCATTTTTGATGATTCTTGTTGTTGAATACGTGGTTTACTAGAAAGTAAAATTCGAATGAAAAAAATAAATATCTTAGATTATTAACTTACCGTATTGGTGGAGCTAAATGATCTGATGATGATGATAAACTTGCTTTTGATAATCGATGAGTTATTTCATTATCATTTGTCTAAATAGAAAATAAATGTTTGTTTTTTCACAAAAAGAATTTTAATAATTACTGTATTTGTGTGTTTGATTAATGCTAAAGTACTAATCATTGGTTTAGGTAATGGTTTTGGTGCAATAACTGGTCCAATTGCTGATTGTGTATGATTAATTGGTTTCATTTGATGATTTCCATTTGTATAACCATTTTGATTTGGTGGTATATCTTCACGAAATATTAATGGTGGTGCAGTAGATAAATTTCGTTCACCAAATGATTGTCTTTCACTGGCTGATCGAATAAAGTTTGTTGGTAAAAGATCTTCTTCATCTTCTTCAATTTCTTCTTGTTCTTCTTCTTCATTGTCTTCATGATGATGATGATCATGATAATGATTATTATTATTATTAATATGATGTTCATTTCCATTGTTAAAATGATTTTCATGATCATATGTTCGTTTAGGAATATCAAATGTTTGATTACGATTATGAATTGTTGGATTATATTGTATCTGATTTGAATGAAATAGATTTGGATTTGATTGATGTTGTTGTGTTGAAGGATGATCATGTAATAAATCATCATTTGTTTCCTCATCAATTAATATTTGTGCCGAACGTGACGGTTGAATTAATCGATGTTGATTATCTTGTTGAATAATACGTTGATGATGATGATTATTATTATTATTGACTGGTACACTTTTAGCATTGTAAACAAATTCATAAGATGATGAAGTATTAGGTAATTGTGGACGCGATGTTGGTCGAGGTTGTGTTATTGCTGATAAAGGTATTTGAGGTTGTTGTTGTAGTTGTTGCTGCTGCTGGTGATGATGATGATGATGGTGGTGATGTTGAGGCGGATGAGCAAGTGTTGCAAAATGATTTTGATGATAAGCTTGTTGTTGACCATTGTGATGAGTCAATAATCGTTCATGGCTACTTGCAGTTTTTAAGGGAGCTGTTTGAGATGGTATTGGTAAATGTGGATGTGAATGTGGATGTGTTAATAATGATGGATTGGATGTAGCAGGAAAACGCGCTAATTGTTGTTGTTGCTGCTGCTGCTGCTGCTGCTGATACTGATGATGATTATCCGATGGTTTAGATAGTAATGCTGAGAGACCTTGGCGATTAGCTGCATCTTTAAGAACTTGCAATGTTACTAATGGTCCACATTGTTTAAGTGCTTCAGCAGCTCTAAAACAAAATAATATAATTTTAACTCTTTTAAATAATTTTCTTTCTTACTGTTCTTGTGTTATATCAATAAGACTTATTTTATCAACACAAAGTATCTGATCCCCAGCTTGAAGACGTCCATCATCTTCAGCAGCACCACCTGGTACAATAGCTTTTATATAGATTCCTTGAAATTGTTGAGATTCACCCTAGAAAAAATAATTCAAATAAATTTTTAAAATAAAAATTCTCATGTTTTTTTTAATTATCTTACTTTAGCTGCAACGATACTTAAACCAAGGCTATTTCCTTTTTTATTCAATATTACAGTTTCAACACTTTGATTTCCTTCTGTATTATTATTATTAGTCAATACATTTTCAACCTAAATTAAACAAATATTTAATAATAAAATATCTTTAAATATATATAAATTACATTTGGTGTTTGCATAAATTCCGTCCACATTCCAAGGCTATGTGGATTTGTAAATAAACGACATAACGATGAACGACTCATAGGTTCGATAAATTCAAATAATTGTTGTGGTATACCACGTAAATTTTCACATGTATAACCGTCTTCAGGTAATAGAAATGGTAAATTTAATTCAGGTTCTTCTGCTAATTGAACAAGTACACCTTCACGACGTAAATTTTCATCTACATGCTTATACGCAGCAGCAAGAAGGCTAAAGAAAAGAGAAATATATTGTTATTCAGTAATTAAATCAAATTCATTGCTTTCATAATATGCCATCTATTAAGTGAAGAGAATATCAAAGTTAATTCGATTATCATCGAACCTTAGATCTTTTCATCTATCATTAACATTTGTAATTTATAGCGAAATTTTGCATTAGTAATGATTACATAAAAAAAGATAGACTGATATGGTACAATTTATTATTATAATGATCTATGGAACACGTAAGAAATATCTATGTCGATGAAAGAGAACATCAATCAATCAATAATGAATGATACGTGTGATAAAAGCTCAGTTGTCCTTAATTCGTTCATTTCCTCTCTACACATTCTTATTGAAGTGACAAAATCTTAAATCTTATCTAAGCATACACTGAATGATTCTGTCTCATAAGTTTCGACAGAATTTATTCTTTTGTCTACGAAAAAAGAATACTTCAACCTCTATGTCTTACCAACTAACATCAAATGAAATTGTAAATAACTAAAATCATTGGATATTTTTATTTGACTTCAAATTTATTCAAACATAAGAAACCTTAATAATTCTTTTCCGATGAATTCATCTCTATTTTAATCCTCGAAAAGATTACATAAGAAAACTTATAATTACTACTTACGCTTGACTAAATGTAGGTGAAATAGGTATTTCATTTCTATTCGAAACATAATTATTTAATATTTGTTTAATTTGTATTGAATTAAGTTTAAATGTATTATTTGATATTAATTGTTGTACATCATGTGCATCACGTTTTGGACTTTGTAATAATAAACAAATTTGATTAACTTTTGTTAAATGACAATCTGATGCTAATTCTAAACCTTGTCGTTGTGCCCAATCACTAATAGATTTTAAACGTAATGCTAATTTTTCTCCCCAAAAATGTGAACATAATTTTAATTCGGGACAACAAACCATTCGATTAAATAACCATGTATTTATATAATGAAATATTTGTGAAAACATTTGAATTGTTAATGCTGCATTCACACGACATTTACGTAATAAATCCATAATTGATGAAAGTGTTGCAAGTATATCACCTAATGTTGCTTGATGATAATTATTTGAATTTATATCTAATGTTAACCAACGTAAATCGGATAATTTAACATTAGTTGAACTATTTTCTTCTAAAAAGAATTATTTAAATAAAAAAAAACAAATAATGTTTTTTGTTTTCTTACCAAAAGCAATGTAAATATCATGTTCAACATCATCTTGTGGATTAGTAAATGAAATTAAATATTTATCTAATTCATTTTGTACAAGTTGTGTTAAATAACGAAATAAACGTTGTACACATTCAGCTAAACGATCTTGTATATCATGAGAAATTTTTGATATATCACGATCTTGTTTTATAAAATAGAGTAATTCCGATGTATTTGCTATCCAATATGCAAGATAACCACCATGTTCATGACATTCCTAATTATTTTTTTTGTAGATAAAAACAAATTGAATTAGGAAAACAAAAGATTATTTTTTTGTTTTTCGACATACTTCGATTTTTTTACTTATCATATCTTCAATACGATAAAGTAATTGAATAATAGTTTCTTGTTTTTGTACAAGCGGAAAATTTGGTTTTCCATATGGTGAAAGACGATGTCGTAATGCCATGTAAAGTGTATAGACAGGTGAGAGACGAAATTGAATATTATTTAATGGATAATTTTCAAAAATAGCATGAATAAATCGATTTTCAGCTAATATAAAGAAACAAAGATATTATATAATTGCACATAGACAAAATATCATTTGTTCATATGAACTACAGCTGTATTTAATATAATTTGTTCATATGTTGTTTAGTGAAAAACAAAAACATGTATTTATGCCTCAAGATATTAACTCTCTCTCTATGATCATCGATCCAGATGTTTTCTCAATTAATACAGCTGTGAAAAACAAGTTATATCTGGAAGTATTTTCTAATAATCTTCTCCAGCTGATAGAAGAATTAATTACATTTAGTGATTTTGTTTTTCTTCTTAGATCATAGATCAAGTATTTTAAATCAATAAAACTTACTTTCAACAGGAACTTCTAATAAACCTGGTAGAACATCAATCATTGTACTAAAAGTAAATAAACAAAACGAATGCCTTTTATATGTCTCAAGGATATTCTTTTATACCCTGGATCAACAATTTGATTCGGTTTTTTTTGTTGTAAATCTTTCGGTGGTCGAATTTGTAATGTACTTGATTCCACTTGATTAGATTTTTTTATTCCAGTCATTGGCAAAGTTGATAAAGAATTATGTATAACTGATTTCTCACCATTTATTTGTGGTTTCGGTTTCATTGTTGTTTTAGTAACAAATTGTGGATCACAATAACGAAATGTTGAATTTCGTCCAAAACATATTAATGAACCATGTTGAAGAACAAATGGTGTTGAAACAAGTTTACCATTTAACCAAACTTCACCACGAGGAGTTAAAGTAACAATACCATTTTGATTATGAATTGTACAATGATCACGATCAATTCCAACACCATCAATCTGAAAATAAATAAAATAGTAATTTAAATAAGAACAAAAATTAACTATTTTCTTACATAAAAATATTGTTTTCCAGTGCCTGCTTTTGCATCACGACCAACATATGTTGTATTTGGATGAATTTTAATAACACGTGGTGTTGAAAGATCAGTACCGTCTTATTAATTAAAATTTAAATTAAATTTCAAAAAAAGAATTTTCTTTTACCATTTTTAACTTCAACAAACATTGAAAGATGATCATTAATAGTTCGATCTTGAATAGATGGTGCTTGATTTGCATCTAATGCTGATTCTTGTACTCGAAGACGTCGACGTAATTCGACATACTCAGGTGGACATTTAACAACTTTAAACATTATTGAACCTTTAAAAATATTTCAAAAAATAAAAATTTGTCATATATGTTTTTGTGTATTATAAACCTTCGTTTTTTTGTGCGTGATTTAAACAAATACTTAATGGACATTCTTTATCATGAAGAATGACTTCTTTTATGGTTTTATTATCCATTTGATCACGTGGTGGAATAACAATCTTTAATAAATCAAATGAAAAAATACTTGATAAATTTTAAGAATAACAAAAAATATTTACATACTTGAAGAAGACAATAATTTTGTGGGTCTTCATGTTTTAAACCATATTTTTCAAGCATTTCTTTAACTACCCATTCAGCTGTATCTTTTATTGATAAAAGAAATGTTTTATATGGTATAGATGGATTTAATGCATCGCCAAATACTTTCATAGTACCACCTTACAAATAAAAAAATAATAATAAATTCATATTTGAAAAAAAAATGATTTAATTGATTTATAAATACCTCCTTCTTTGGTACTAATTTTAATAAATTTTTGTTTTAAACGATCCTGTTGAATTTTTTTAACCATTTCAGGATTTGATAATGAACGCGTAAATTTATTTGTTTCAGGAACTGATTTATATAATGATTCAACAATAGTTGTAGGTGTTACAGTTTGATTATCATTTTCATCAATGCCATTTTTCTATAAAAACGTACGAAAAAAAATCTATTAAATAAAGAAATCAACTTTGTTTTTTCATCCTTCTTCTTTTTTTTTTCACTTTTAATACCTATCGAATTGAATATATATATATATGCCTATATATATATATATATATATTTAATGAATCTGTATAGTGAATAAATAAGAGAAACAGAAAAAAAATATGTATAATGATTGGACACATTTTATTTCATTTCTCGCACACAAGGTAAAATATAAGTTACTTTTTTTAATAGTTCTTTACTTTTTGAACAATTTATTCTTATTGTAAATGTAAAAAATTTCAACTCTTAACACTAATAAATTAGTTCACCCTATAAGCAATTATTTTACGTGTGATTATGTTAAAACACAGATGTACTAGTAATATCAATGGTTTAGAGAGCTTGGATTAAGCATAAATAAACAAACTGTTAATTACAAAATTTAGACTTTTACTAAAATATTACATATTTATAATAATTCACAACACCAAGAAAAAAAATTCGAGTAAGCAATAAGCATACATCAAAAGCAGAGCATTTTTTTATTACCGATAAACTCTCGTCGAAAGCAAATCCTATTATGAAATAAGACATGCAACATACTATGTATACTGATAGATTCTCTTCAATTCAATTTATGAAAAAAAAAAAAGTAGAATTTCAACTTACTTTATCTTGTTTCTTCTTCTTCTTTGATTCACGTTTTGATGATCGTCGTTCCTTAAAACTTCCACCAATTGGTTTTGTTAACTAATAAAATGGAAATAAAAAACTGAATTCTTTATGTTAACAATACTAACTTTAGGTAATTTAGCATTTTGTAAAACAAAACGACCTTCTCGTTGATCTTTTCCCCAATAAAGTTGAACCCATAAGGGTTTTTCATCCATTTCTAATTTTCTTCCATCTAAAAAGTAAACAATTGTAAATTATCTTTTTTTTAAAATTCAATCAATTAACATACCTCCATTTGGATGAACTTCATAAATACAATAATCTTTTTCATTAGGTAATGTTTTCATATCTGGTCTTAATTTTTCCATTAAAACACGAATAACATCTAATGATGAAGCTGTACTTGCAACACGTATACATTTTGTTGTGACTTTATCTTCTGCATCTTGAAAATAAAATCTCATAACACCATAAAAATCGAGAACCTCATTAGGTTCACTGATTTTAAATAAATCAAGTCGAGTAGAATTCCATTCATTTATAAGATTAAGTACTTCCGAACGATCTTTCGGCAATCCGTTCATGGTCATGTCATATCTAGAAATAGAAGGATATTCTAATAAGAGAAAGAAAAGAAACTAATATGGTTGGCCTTCTTCCCATATTACCGTCAACCGATAATAATAAAGAATGAAAGATCTTTATCGACGTTTTTCTTTTTCTAAGGATATCATAAACATGTCTAAGAGAAAGTTCAACTGACGAACAATTCTTCCTGTTATGTTGATTTTTTTTTTCTTCTCTCTTTATCGTCCATATGAACGAACGAAACAATGACCCAGAAAATGAAAAATAAACACGAATCACATTCAATATCTAGATGTCGCTAATTCATACGTTCATGATTGGTTCAATAAATAAATTGATCACTTTTTTAAAGTATAAAAATTTACTAATATTCTCTATTCTCTTAATTGATAAAAATTAAAAAGATAAGAGTTTGATTTTGTTTAATTATTTAAAAAAAAAGAATTGAAATATTTCGTTATTGAATATATTAGTTTATTTATATAATATATATATATAAATAGTGCCACTCTGCCATTTTATAAGTTGTCTATTTGTTTGAGTTGTACTATATGAACCTTAATGATCATTATGTAAGCTTTAAAAAAAACATACTTAATCTATAACGATTTTTTATAGGAAACAATTATGGTTTCTAAATTTCTCAAGAACATATTCAACATTCCGTAAGTGGGAATTTTGTGAATAAATATATTGCACATACATTGTGTAATACCATGCATACTTATACTCGATACATAATGATGTAAACTGATTATTTCTGTCTATATATATATATAGGTAAAATTGAATCTCGTGTAATACAAATGATGTCATCATCGAACAAGAAATTAACTGTTAGTTGTTTATTTAGTAAATTTTTGTAAATAATATTTTTCTTTATAGATTGCTGTTGAAGGAAATATTGGTTCAGGGTAATTAAAGATATTTACATTAAAATCTAATCTAATAGAATATTGATTTTTAGAAAAAGTACTGTACTCACTCATCTTGGTCAATCGTCATTATGTGATGTAAATAAAAAAAAACTTTGCTTTGTTTATTTAATGAGTCATTTTAATATATTAGATTATTGCGGAACCAATTGAAGCTTGGACGAATCTCAAAGGCAATAATCTCCTCGTAATGCAATTTTTATGAATTAGAAATATAATTTATGATTTATTGTTTCTCTTCCTTAGGCAATGCTTTATACAGATCCTAAACGATGGGGTTTTGCATTCCAAGCAAATGCACAAATGTCACTCGCAAAATTACATGCCCAACCAACAAAATTACCGTTGAAAATTATGGAAAGATCTATTTATAGTGCAAGATATTGTTTTGTTGAAAATCTCTATCGAAAGTATAATTTTTACAAAAACAAAATATTCTATTTAACTTTTTTCCTTTTCTTCATCAGTCAAATTCTTCATGATGTCGAATATGAAATTTTAAAAGATTGGTTTAATATGCTGACATCTAATGATTCATGCCATCTTGATTTAATTAGTAGATATTATTCTTATTGATTGTATATATTTTAGTTGTCTATGTTTATTTGTGTTTAGTTTATCTTCGGACACAACCTGAAACATGTCTTGAACGTATCAAAACTCGTAATCGACCTGAAGAACAATCCATAACTCTTGATTATCTAAATCAATTACATGAACGACATGAAGAATGGCTTTCACCTCAAATTCGTACAGTGAAAACACCTGTTCTTATTATTGATGCAAATCAAACACAAGAACATGTGTATAAAGATACAAATGTTTATTTAGAAAATCTTGTTTCATGTTAAATGTTTCTGTTATTTATTTTTTTGTATAAAGAAGAAAACAAAAGTCAGGAAAATTTGGTGATTATTCATCATCATTGATGGATGATGGTAAATATTCCCGAGGAAATAAACAAGCAATACGTATAATTGGTTTCGTATAATTTGTACTATTTTTAATCTACCAAAAAAAAGTAATGAATATGTGTAACTATAAGAATAATATAAATTACTTGAATTCCAAATCGAATTTTTTCAAGTAAATATGTCCATTTAAGTTTCGTTTTTTCTTCATCAGACATTAGAATAAATTCATCAACTGAACATTTCAACATTTTTCTAGCAATATCATCACCTAATTTAACATTTGTAATTGTTCCTGTATGATCTGTTAAATGTACATTTAAATTAAAACCATCTTTTGTTGTAAGATTATCATCACTTGTTTGTTCTAATAATTTCATACGACATTCAGCTTCTGTACATTCAATTATACCATTATTATCACGAATAGATCGATTACAAAAAATACTAAGAAAAATTTATTAAACAAAAAACAAAATATTCATTTTTACCATTTTTTAGTAATCACTTGATTTAATGGTCCATCGAGATCGAAATGACTTAAAAAACATTGTACAATAAATGTATCATTACCATCACCATTTAATATATATTGTTTTAATTCTTTTATAGTTACAATTACTGCTTGAAGTGCTATAATAAAAATAATAATAATAAATTTATTTTTTAATCAATATTTTTACTATTAAAACCACCATCGACAGCAACATTGAGTAAATCATCGATTGGAATTGATCGCATTGATTCATAGAGTTGAACCGATTCATTCGTATCTTAATAAGAAATTGAGACTATACTACGCCTATAAATAAATTTTTTACCTGGATTAACAGTAAATAAACTATTACGAGTTGCAGTTAGACCATATACTTTTTTATACTCATCATAACGAACACGTACACTAATACAAAATATAATGTGTTCTTCTGGTATCCATCGTTGAGCAAACTTATTAGAGAATTCAATCATTTTCAACAATACAAATAAATTTTTGTCTCTACTTTAATTTGTTCACTATCCCAAAATGTTAACCAAACACCACTAGTTTCTCCATCGAAAAGTAAAATTTCTAAAAGTTGTTTTTCTTCATTATCATAATCAGTTTCACGTTGTCGTCGTGTTCGAATTGTTTTTAATGTACCGATCTAATTAATAATAATTATAAATAATATATATGATATTAGCAATACCTGTTGTACACCAGCTAAAACATTAATTCCATTGGTTTTTTTTATTAATTGTTCACCATGAGTAACAACTTGTGTTAATGTATAATAATCATGTCCTGCTCGACAAGGTACAGAAGCTAATAATTCATATTGCTTGGCTTTTGGACCTTCAACTTTTTCCATATATGATTTTTCATTTAATGAAAGTTCAAAAGATCTAAGTAGATTATCAAAAAAATATGAAATGTTATCAATAGACAAAGAAAAAACATACAATGGTGTCCATGGCGTATAATTATTTGCTTTATCGTCTAATTTTGGTTTTACAGTTGGATAATGAAGTGCAACTAGAACGAAAATATATAGATGATTTGCCTTGAATTCAATCAAAATAGTCTTACCAACATCACCAATTGTAAATTTACTACTAATAATCATTAGATCTTTTGGTGGCAGCCAATAAGCAACATTAATAAAATCTTTAATTGAATCTCGAAATGTAAAATTTAATACACTTCTTTGATGACGATCACCTTGAATTAATAATGTTAAAATTAAACGAACATAGAAGATGAATACATACTTCCTTCAAATATTCGTAATTCAACTTTACCAATTACAATACCATACATAATCTTTAAAGAAACATCAAATTTTAAAGTAATAAGAGAAAAACAACGAACTTACACCATCAACTAAACCTGGATTATTCGATGATAATGTATTTAATTTAACAACTCTTTGGAGTGTTCCAGTTGATTGCAAAGATTTTTCATAATCCTATTTTATTCAAAATATTACTAGAAAAATTAAAATTCAATTTACCATCATATTCAACTGTTCTTCTTCGTATGAAAATATGTAGAAAATGTTCATCGAATAGTTAGATTGAGCGATACATATCCAGGTAAAATTATACTATTGGTTAATCATTTAATTTAAATTTTTTTTTCAAATATTTCCGTTATATTAAAACTAGATAAACCAATAGTTTATTAACACAATACCAATGCAGTTTATATGAATTATTCTTTTAAAGTACCATAAGTAATGTATTAAAGATCTCTGTTTATTAAACATCTTTCGTGAAAAAATAATAACAAAAAAAGAAATGAAAAGAAAAAAGTCTCTATATACTATATCTATTTATACATAATACAGTTGTTGAAAATAAAAAATAGAAGAAAAAGAAAATGGTTAACTGAAAAAATAAACTTAAATCGTTGTTATCAAAATTTTACTGTTTTTCTTTATGACGATTTCATTCTTTTGTTTTTTTTCAAAATATTAATAAAGAATGTTAAAATTTCGAGACGTTTTGAAAAAAAGAAAAATTTGATTGATATTTATGCAACTGTTATCATATCTTGTCGTTGTCGTGTTTGTCGACGTTCCATAACTAGTTTACCGAATCGTTTTGCTGCAAGAACAGCCCGAACAGTTAATCGCATAGGTTGTTTTTGTTCTTCTTGATCGATATGTGGTGGTTTTCGAGGAGTATCGCTAATTAATCGAGATAAATTAGTTGGAGTTGGATTAAGTAATGGTGTTGTTTGTTGTGTCACTGTTACTAATGGATGTGGTGTAAAATAGGATTGTTCGATAATTCGTCGTTGTTGAGATACAAGTGATCGCATACCTAATGCTATTTGTCGATTAACCATTGAACCTTGAACAAATTCTCGACAGAATTTTTTTACATTATTAACACTGAAATGATTTTCATGATGACATTCATCGTTATAAAGTTTTGTTGCATACTGAAAAAGAAACGAAAATATTTTTAAATTTAATTATTTTTTCTTCCTTCTGTTTATCTTACGAAATAATGATTAGCTCGATCAGTTGGTTCACTAGGCATATCAGCAACAATCATTGCTATATAACCGGCAAGTCCAAGAACTAATTCAACTGGATAAGTACATGTCCATAAAATATAATTTAAATGTGGAATATCAGGACGGACTTGACGCATAAATTTAAATGAAAGAACAAGTACTGAAGTAGCAAGAAGTGATGCATTGAAACAACTTGACCATGATTGAATACATGCAACATGAATAAATAAATTACTTAATGCACGAATCTATGAAAATTAATTAATAATAGAAATTCATAGAACAAAAAAATAAATTTACTTTTGGTTCATTTAATTTACATGATTCAGTTGAATTAAGTTCGAGAAAAAGTTCGACAAATTCTTGTGGCAATGCTAATTGAAAATCAAAATTAAGTTCAGCAAATAAATGTCGTACTATATGGCCAATATCACGTGGATCAAATGCATTAGCTGAATAACGTGAATATTCTTCAAGCTAAGAAATATATATATATTCAGTATATAAATATTTAAGTTTATTATTGTTACTTTCACTTGGATACGATTATGAAATTTAGCCACAAGAATAAAATAACCCATAGCACGTAATTGATAATCACGATCATAATGTCCACGTAATGTATCTCGTGCATCAAGAAGTCGAACACAATGTTGAGCTACTTCTTCTTTCATATGATTTTTACGCTAAAAATATTTTATGATTATCTTAAATCATTTTAATGAAGAAGAAAAAAGCACAAACTTGTATTCCAATTAACCAATTAACAATTGATTGACGCCATATAAGACTAACGGCTGAACGTTGTAAAACAGTTCGAAGCCAAAGAACACTAAAATTTAATGTATGTGATTGTCGAGCTTCAAGTAACTGTAGGAGAAAATAGAAAAAAAAACACATATCAATAAAATGTTCTTATTTCAAGAGACAAACCTACGAGAAGAGTATTTGTATGTTCAAATAAATATTGATGAAGACCAACACGTTGTATACGTGATGCATGTGTATGATAATCAGCTGAAGTTGAAGAGATAGGCTCCAAAGTATCACAGAGAACTATTTTAGAATAAAAAATAAATTCTTTTTTTTTTTGTGAAATAATCAGTAAATCTTACAATTATAACAGAAGATCGTTGATTGAAGAGGTCGTTGAATAGCAGTTAAATTATTATTATTGAATGGACTCTAGATGGAGAAAATAAAATTTTTGTTTATTTAAAAGAAAAATAATTAATTAGATAATAAAATTTACATCCCCAGTTGAACCTGGTACTAATTGATTTCGGTCGTCTCCCATGCGATGCGAATGACGTGTAACTATTTGTGTATGCCTATCTCAAAAAAGAAATAAAATGACAACGAATGAAGGAATAGGAAGACTATCTAAATATTTTCTTTTTTTTTTCTTGCCTTTCGCCATCGACTACAGAATATACATATGCGCATTTCCACATCGATAGTCGTTGATTTATACCTGGAATGTGAGAGAGGACAATTCACTTTCATTTGATAGAAAACATGCTGTTTATATAGTCACAGTACGACTGTTAACTATTCGTTTCATTGTTATTGTTGGATATATGAATCACGAAGAAACATAGAATGAAAATGAGCATGTAACTAAAACGAATTGTGTTTCTCACAAAATCATTCTATCTATTTATGCATTCGACTTTTTACATTAGGAAAATTATATGTATAATAGTGCTAATAAAATTCGAATAAGAAACTTCGATAAATGTATTGAACAATGGTTTATTATTACATATTTCGACAAACTATCGTAAAGCTTTATCGTTTTTCGAGCGAAAAATAACATCAGTTATGTAAGCAGAAATCAAGAGATTTGAATAAACAATCGATGATTCGTTAGTTAATCAATTAGTTGATAGATATTAACGATGCATTTTCATTATTTCTTGTTTTAGCTTTATCTGCCATATTATTCTACATAAATCATATGAAGGGAGTTAATACTATTTCTTCATTGATGAAATTACATAAGTGTTCGTTAACGCTATATGAAATCGATCAATAGACAGACTAGTCAAAGATACAGAATATTGAAGGAAAATCGATTTTGAATAATTTTTTGTTTTCGGCGTGTGTTCATTTATTTTGGATAACAAATATTGCTCTTTTAATCCTTTCGAGACGATTTAATCTTCCTAGAAAAGAACTTGAATGAATTCATTTTTATGTGTATTAGAGTAAAGCAAACGAAGATCATATAAATTCGAAGTCATTTAAAATACAATATTGAGAGAAGAACTTGAATTACTGAACTTTTATTGGTTTTTAAACAACGAAGACAACGCTCAAGATAAAATTGTATTTTGTCGGTATTTTTGCATATACACATCTTTAACTTTAATATCTGAATCTTCTTAGATTTTTGTACCGGAAAATATTGATACATTAGACATATTCATCTGCAGTCTTCCATTATAATAACAAAAAATGCTCTAAAAATTCGTTTTCATAATTCTATTAGTAATAAGAAAAGTGTGCAACATTCAAATTTTTTAACAAGTAAACATAAATGTTGTCGAAAAATTAAATTTAAAATATAAATTTCTTCTGCTAAGTGTACAGTGTACACATTATTTTTCTGGAGAATATGTATAAAAAATGTTGTACATTTTGTTTTAGCTTGGTATACACGTACTACTGCAGACATTAATCATAAAATATGTTTAATATGAAATAATAGATGTCGTTTTTATTCTGAAACTTGATTGGAGAAGAACCAATCATATTTTTTAACGTTGAATATAAGAATGAATAAAACAAAATGCTTAACTAATGCCTTAATGTTTGTCACTAATCGAAGTGTTTATTAATTAGAACGTGCCATGCATCAACGTAATACTAATAATACTAATACTGGTGCAACATTTAGTCCATCTTCACGTTCAAGTAGTACTCAGCATAATGATACAAGTAACACTCGTATTATTGCTTTCTGTGGTACACCACCACGATCTTCATCAATATCAACATTACCTACAAATGAGATTGAACATCGTTATGTTCCTCGTCCACCAATTGAATCAGATTTTATATTTGAAACATGTCTTACTATCTGTAAAATTATATCACTCTTTTTACAGTATTTATTAATTTATAAATCAGAAAAATGGATTGGTCCTTATTCAACTTCAGCTTCATTTATTCATTGGCATCGTATTGATGGTTGTGTTATTGGTATATTGATTATATTTTGTTTTGCATTGCAAGAAAAATTAATTTTACTTCGAATAATAATTAATATAATCGCTTTCATTTATTCATTTTGGTTTTATTCATGGAAATATGTACTTGTTTTTACTTATCCACTTATTTGTTCATTACTTGTTTATCAAGATCAAAATTCGAAATCATATCAACAACAGCAACAACAACAACAACAAATGTCAATTTCATCCAATAGTTTACCTGGACATTATTGTTCACCACATGCATATGATTTACGTTATGAAACTGATTGTCTTCGTATAGAATTTAATCAACGTATACGACATATACTTTTTTCATCATTTCTATCAGTTTATTATATTTGTATTGTTCCATTAGCATTCTGTGATACACATTATATTCGTCTTGATGTAACTCTGCTATTTCAATTTAGTTTTATTGTATTTCTTAGTTTAATTATGGTATATACAAGTCATTATCTGCCTTTGGAATTATTAACTGTTTTTCATCGAAATGGAAAACATCTTGGTTCATGGCAATGTTTAACAAATCATAATCATTCATCAACAATTCCATCATGGGATGAAAAAAATCAAATAGGATATGAACCAAATTCTATTGTTAAATATAAACGGCAAATTTATCGTTCATCACAATGTAGTTCAACAGTTGCTGAACCAGCTAATATGTACCATACACGTTTTGCAATATTATTTAGTCGGCCATTTATTTTTCCATTAATTTTATGTTCAATACAGATTATACTTGTGATTCTTCAAATATTATTTCTTTTACTTGATCAACGTTGGTTTATTGTTGTACCACAAATGATACTATTCATTTTTAATACATATACTATTGGTCATACAACGCGTGATATGTATTTACTTTATTTAGTTTATGGTTGAGAATGATTGATTATATATATATATGTATTGTTGGCTTTTTTTGTGAATTCAGATAAAAAAAAAAAAAAGAAGAACATGAAATTAACAATAATGTTCTGTGAATGAATCTCATGTTATTTTTTGTTGTATTCGTAAATGATTTTGTTTTGTAGATATCAATATGATGAAAAAACTTGATTATGTTAATTTACCTGGTATTGTAAGTAGAAAAAACTTGAAAATTATTTTTGAATTAAAAATATTTTTTCTTTTAATAATAGGTTAATGATCAACCAGATTGTTTTGAAACACCAGATTATCCAGTTAATGAACAAATGAATGAAGTCGGATATGATAACTCTGAAGCTGTTAATCAATTTGATATTAATGCAAAAGAAGTTCACGATGTATTTAATGGAAAATATCTCAATGGCAAAGTAGCGAGTATGTCAAGGTCATGTGAATATAACATATTAAATAATTCATATTTTCTATTAGATTTTGCTGATAATTCAACTAAAGCTCGTGGTTATGTTCAACATGGAATCTATCAAAATGTAAATAAATAATCTAGAGAATGTTTTACAAAGAATTGATCTTTCAGTATTTATTTGTTCAGACATGAGCATTTTTATCATTGAAATCTTTTCTTTAAAGAGAATCGTATCAAAATATTACGAGATTCTATATTTCTAAGACTTTTATTCTATTCTTTTTAAATAGTATGCGGAACATGAATCTGAAACTCCAATCGAACGTTATAAACGTTTAATGGCTGAATTACAAGAATTAGAAGGAGAATTCAATCAAGTAATTATTGAAATTAAATTCTTTTTTTTAATTATATTTATGTATCTATGTTAGACGTCAAAAGAAGGTTTAAGTTCAGAGGAAAGTGAAAATTTAAATGCTCTTGTTCAACATATCCAACAATTACAAGAACATACATCTAAAGTCTATGGAGCTAAATTTCTTTTAAATGAACGTGATACAAGGTTATTATTAATTATATATGGAATAAAAAGAATATTTTATGTCTTTTGAATTGATTTTTAGTTCATTATTAACAAAATTAGCAGCTTCAAAACAAGAAGCAAAACAAACAAATGGAGGACAAAAGAATTCGGATACATTTAAATTATATATTAATCCGGCAACAGCTGCAACAGTTGGTAGTTCATCAACATCAGCTCTTCAAGTAACGATTATTTGTTTTCTTCTTACAGAAAAAATTATTTTTGTAAATTAAATATTAATATTTAGCTTTCGGATATCGAACAAAAAGTATCAAAACTTGAAAATTTGATTGGCCTTAATGAACAACAACCAGTAATACTTTCTTTTATTTATATTTTATTTATTATCTGAATTCTTTTTCTCTTTTAGATTGAATCAAAATCTTTATTAGTAAAAATGAATTCTTAGAAAAAACTTTTTAATTTCATATTATCATTTAGAATTCACTCGAACAATTAACTACACGTGTTAATTTACTGGATGGAACAAATATTGATCATATTGATATGAAATTAGCCAATGTTCTTGCTCGTTTAAATGCAATTAATGATAAAAAAACGGTTGTTGATGAACAAGATAAACAGAGCAAGGTAAAACAAACATAAATCATTTTACAATAAATTTATTTTATAACTCTAGGCTGTGGAATTATTCGATATGATGTCACGTTGGGAAACAATGGCAGCTAATTTACCTATTATTCAACAACGTTTAATAGCTCTTAATGAACTTCATCAACAAGGTAAAAAAAACGTTTGATCTTATAAAAACTTCTCTAATCATATTTTATTTCATTTAGCTTTTCAATTCAGTACAGCACTTTCGCATTATGAAGCTGAACAACAGGCATTAAAAACATCACTTGATTCGAATGATCAACTTTTAAAACAAGTAGAAATGCTTTTTTTTGGTTGATTTTTTAAATATTAATCTAATTAATTATATTTAGTTAAAAACAACATTCGATTCGAATCTTGATTCACTTAAAAGTCAACTTAATAGTATCGATCAAAAATTAGTTAGCAGTGGAAATCTTAAAAAGAAATAATCGATATCTATATGTGTATAAATGACACACAAAAATCTTTTTCTTCATCATCTGGTTTTCTTTTTGGTGGTGCATTTCGCTAGTTTGTTCTGTTCTTTTTATTTGGCATTTGTAATAACATATATTTTATTGTCATCGGTTGACGTTTTAAAAATAAAATGTGAAGGGATGTAACAGATGCTATTGATATTCATTAAATGTAGGATGTGACACATGTAAAATTTTCTTTCAAGATTTGTACTGGAAATATGGAATGATAGATTAGTTTTAAATGTTTATATCGAATAACTTGTTTTTAAACTTGGAATAAATATTAGAGAAAGATGAACAATGATTTTTATTATACAGTCAAAGACATTTTTTTTCAATCTTTTGATCACAGTTAATTTGTAATGTGTTTGATGACACAAATGATGAAATTTTTTCGATAGGTATTTAATGATAATAACACTTAGTTTGCAACATATATTCGAAAAAAATATAAGAGTATTGCATTTTAGTCAACATGCTTTTTATTATTGTTTAGATGATAATTTATAACTGTATCAATTATCAATATGTAGTAAAATGTACTTTTTGTTTTCAGTTCACTTATTAACTTCAATAAGCATTTAATAATAATTAAATGAATCTCATTTAACTCTATACATATACGAAACAATTTTTGAAAAAGTGTTTTGTTATTCATAAGTCAGCTCCGTAGTGAACCCTTTTTTCTCCCGAAGAATCATACTCGGCTTACGTTAGTTTTGAACAAAGAAGCTTTCTGAGTTCAGTATTATTGATTGCAATCTTTTTTCTTTCAACAGTATTCGATATTATACATTTTATAGTTCGGCATTACTGGAAAAAACTTTTCAGAGTTTTCTAATAATAATGGCGACTCATCTGCCACAACTTTTCCATGACTCTACAAAACATTTTCTCCTTCCGTCTTACTGGAAAAAACCTTTTACAGTTTCACTATTGTCATAAAGAACCACAAAGTAATTCTCGTATGAGTGCAGGTATGAGTGTGGGTGTGGACGTAAGCTAACAGAAGAGACACCCACACCCTCAAGATGGCGCATCGACAAGATATGAGTGGATGTGGCGTAAGTTTAACCCAGATATTATACCCTCACGTATGCATACCCACACCCACACCTTCGCTATTGTTACAATCATATCTTCATATGCCTTCACACATTCTTTCACATCATATCTGGTTTTTCGTGATTCATATTCTTTGCTTTTTTTCCCTTTATCTTTGATGTTTTTGTTCTTCATTCGAATAAGATACAACTTGAAGAGAGGGTCCTTTCATACACCATCGTATCGCTAAACTTCAATCAAACAAGACGTTACTCCTCCCTATTTTTACAAGAAGCAGATTTTGTCGTCGACTTTTTCCTTCTACCTTTTTTGCTTCGGACGTGTTCTTGCACCATCAAAAGAAAAATACGACACGCGTGAAGTAAATACGCACTTCAACGGAAGAAATAAAAGCAATAACACACCACACATTTCAACCGTTTCTATCGGAGATAAATAAAATCATGTCAAGTTTGGTTGCATTACCGGTAGAGCTTGTCTACCGGATTTTGGACCATCAGAGTATTCTCACTATGCTATGTTCTATGCGAAATGTGTGCCAGCGACTCAAACAAATCGTTGACACGTACGATCGATATCAGGTATGGCCTTTTCTTATTACACCCGGCTAAAGTATATCAATCTTCATGTTTTTTATTCACCCTTACGATCTGTAAGCCTGATAAAATAGTAGGCAATTCACCTATTGCGACATAGACTAATCTATCAATCCACAGGTCGATGATTCCGCCTTTGAGTTTAGACAGGAAAACCATACGAAGATGGAAGCAGTAATTCTGATCAGAAAGCACCGTACGTAGACCTTGGTAGGTTCTAGTAAATCCTCTATCAGGAAAACTTCGGAGAGCTATCATATTCTTTGCTG